AGCCCCGGCTTCTTGATCGGCCAGGACAACGGCGACAACGCCATTGCCTTCAACAACCACTACGACATTGTCGTCGAGTACCACGAGGTCAGCGGCGACCCGAACCAGCTGCGCGTCGTCGGCGCGCTCGTGCAGCCCAGCTCGCTGCGCTACGACGACCCCAACGCCATCGACTGCTCGCTGCAGCACCAGCCCGTCGTCCTGGACACCAAGGCGGGCGGCAAGACGCCCGTGACCTTTACCTACAGCGTCTACTGGACCCCCTCCAGCACGGCCTGGGCCACGCGCTGGGACAAGTACCTCCACGTCGTCGAGCCCAAGATCCACTGGTTCTCGCTCATCAACTCGGCCATTATCGTCGTCTTTTTGGTGCTGACCGTGCTGTCCGTCATGGTGCGCACGCTCAAGAAGGACATTGCCCGCTACAACCGCCTCGACCAGATCAACCTCGACGACCTGTCCGGCACCAGCGCCGTGGACGACGGCGTCCAGGAGGACTCGGGCTGGAAGCTCGTGCACGGCGACGTCTTCCGCGCGCCCGCCCACCCGCTGCTGCTGTCGGTCTTCCTCGGCAACGGTGCCCAGCTCTTTGTCATGACGGGCTTCACTATCGTCTTTGCCCTGCTCGGCTTCCTGTCGCCCTCCAACCGCGGCTCGCTCGGCACCATCATGATTCTGCTGTACACCATCCTCGGGTTCGTCGGTGGCTACGCGTCGGCGCGCGTCTACAAGGCCTTTGGCGGCGAGAAGTGGAAGCTGAACATTGCGCTGACACCGCTGCTGGTGCCCGGTCTTGTGTTCACCGTCTTCTTTTTGCTCGACCTGTTCCTGTGGGCCAAGCAGTCGTCTGGTGCGGTGCCCTTTACGACCATGATTGTCATTGTTGGCATCTGGTTCGTCATCTCCGTCCCGCTGTCCTTTGCCGGCTCCTGGATCGGCTTTCGGTCGGCCGCCATTGAGTCGCCCGTCCACACGAACCAGATCCCGCGCCAGATCCCGCCCGTCACCACGTACCTCAAGCCCATCCCCAGCATGCTACTGGTCGGCATCCTGCCCTTTGGCGCCATCTTTGTGGAGCTGTACTTTATCATGAACAGCATCTGGTTCAGCAAGATCTACTACATGTTCGGCTTCTTGTTTTTGTGCTACGGCCTCATGATTATTACCTGTGCCGCCGTCACCGTCCTCATGGTCTACTTCTTGCTGTGCGCCGAGAACTACCACTGGCAGTGGCGCGCGTTCCTGGCGGCCGGCACGACGTCGCTGTACATTTTCGCCAACGCCATCATCTACTGGATCAGTAAGCTGAGCATCAGCAGTCTGGCGGGCAGCGTGCTGTATGTGGGTTACAGCGCCCTCATCAGCTTCCTCTTTTTTATTCTGACTGGTATGTTTCTCCTTGACGCGTTCCCCTTCTGTTGATGTGCCAACCACAACCTCTAACATGTACAGGCTCTATTGGTTTCTTCTCGAGCTGGTGGTTCACCCGCAAGATCTACGGCAGTATCAAGGTCGACTAAACGGCGCCAGATGTCAGCTAGACAGCATTGGCAACGGCGACACGAATGTACCTTGTCGCGTGCTACGAGCACAATTCCACACACGCACATACGACGCACCCTTACGTCCCTTGTCGTATGTACGTTGTGTGCGAGAGGTCATGCTACAAGGCCCTGATCTCTTAAGGCACGGTCTTTGCGTCATACGACCCATGGGGCGTTCAGTTCTAGATTCAGCAACCTACCAGCAACGTGTCCTTGGACTGGTTATTGGTTGATACGACAGGAGGAGGAAGAATCAAAGGTAGAATAGGAGATGCTTTGGGTTAAGAAAGTTAGAAAAAGGGGAGAGGCTAGGCGTTTTCACTTTCGCTTTGATGTCACTGGAATTATTTTTGGTTTGTTCTTGTGTTATTCATATTTTCAATAGGTTTACGGCCGTAACTTTTCGGGACTGTCTTCCACGTCTTATTCATAAGTTTTCACTCTCCATACAACGACACTATGACTCCTGTCATTTGTGATCTTGATTAGCACCTTTGCGTCTCGCTTCTTTCGAGGCTTTGTAATCTGAAAATTGGATTGACATACAAAAACATAAAATAGATAGCAGGCGTTTACACAGCAAGAGGACATGGACCGTGCAGCTTCCCAATCTACGCCAGACGCCGACCCCAATCTGGATCTGATGTCACGAGAGACTGCATCACCCGACCAGGTTGATGTACGGTTCCGGCCACCGCCCAAACACGAGTGGCCGGTCGCCCAGGCGTCCACTGAGCGGCGCCAAGACGCGCACCTTGCGCCGCTCGGCATCGACTTCGGCCACGTACACGAAACCAAGCACAGTGGCATGCTGGATCACGTCCGGCGGGTCGTGCAGTCCCGCGTTCATCACAGCCAGCGTCCAATGCGCCAGCGACGGGCCCGCGTCCACTTTTTCGAGGTTGTGCTCGCCGATCGCGCCCTCTTCGTCGGGCCCGTCGTCAACACCCGCGTCGCCATCGTCATCATCGTGACCAGCGCCACCAGCGCCGTTGGCACGCGCGGCGTTGTCTCCCGGCGGCAAGCGCAGCACGGTCAAGGCGTCGGCGTCGACTTGCTGCGTGTACGGACTCAGCGTCCGTTTGGCGTCGCCGAAAAAGTACTCCTTGATGCACGCTTCCCGCTGCTGCTGCTCAACAGCATCGCTGCGGTCGACCACGCCGTCGGAGGCATCGAGTTGGACAATCTGGATGGGCTCGCCGAATGTCGTTGTCTCGCCCTGGAAGCGGTTGGTCAGGGCCTGCTGGATGGCCGTGCTGGCTGCGCCGTCGCCGAGCACAACCACCAGGTTCACAGAGAACTCGTCGATGATGTGGGCCAGCAGATCCATGGACATTAAATGGCCGTGTTTGCCGTTGTTTTTGTTTTTGTTGTTGTCGTTTGCCTTGCCGCTCTCGTCGGCCGTCACGGCCGGCGTGTCGATCAAGAGACCGCTGGCCGCCACATTGGCGTCCTCCGACGCGCGCGACGCGACGGCACCTGCTAACCGTGTCACGAGTCCGCGGTACAAATCTGGCGCATCGCTGGGTCGTGCATAGCCGTAGTTGTAGACGAGCGGTAGCTTGACGGGCACGGCGCTGGGGCCGCTGCTGGGTGCACCGCCCCAGCCCGAACCGCCCTCGGTCTCGAGGTCCATGAGCGTCGCAAACACGGCCGCACTCAACGTCCCCGGCAGGCTCAAGAGGCCCTCCCGCGGGTCGACATTGACCACGCACGGCTGCTGGTATTGTGGCGGCGGAGGGGGCGGCGGCTGTTGTGGCTGTTGGTATGGCTGTGGCGGTGGTGGCGGGGGCGCCGCGAAGCTAGCCATCTTGGTCGCCCATGCCGTGAGCATGCGCACCAAGCTCGTGCGCCCCGAGTGAGGAGGTCCGCAGACGAGGAGTCGTGGCCCTGCCGAGCCCGGGCTGCCGCGGGGCACCGACGCGGCCGCGGCACGCTGGGACGCCAGCAGCAAGTGGAGGTTCATGTAGGAAATCATTGGCGACTGGGCGGCGTTGGCACCGCTTCGGGCATCGCTCTTGACACCCCCCGGGACGACCTCGTCATGGTCGCATGCGCCTTCCACTTCGAGCTCGCAGCCGGGCCACGTTAGGATCTTGGACTGCGTGCCAGCGAAGGTGTAGGTCTGGCTGGTGGCCAGCTCCGTGCCGTCGCGCTCAGCCGTGCCGGACAGCACGCGGACCTTGATAGCCGGCTGCGAGACGGAGAAGCGCCATTCTGACAGCGGTGCGAGCTTGAATGTGCGGGTGGTGCTTGCGGTGGTCTACTTTGTTGCGTCAGTCAGTTACGGGATTCTCGTGAGAACGAGCGCATCGCATAAGTTGGCCACTATTCACCTGGACGGGGATCTGTCCTAGACCGGGAATGGACATTATGGGTGATGATGCGGCATGAGAGATGCTGTATCCCGATAAGTGTTGTTATTGCTGGGCGGCGTACGTCCCAAGGGCAGATGACGTTGATGTTGATGAGCTTGTGAGCTCTGAGCTCGAAGGTGACCTTCAAAGCAACCTCGAAAGTGGTCCAGGGAATGCTTCTCATTGGCCACGGTGGTCAAGTCAAACTGGAGTGGAGTTAGTTCCTGCAGTGTCAATGCCCTGAAAGTTTTGGGATTCTGAATGCATATAGCGTGTTTTACAGCGCTATGCAGTAACCTGGAGCTGTTACTAAATTGCGTGGCATGATAAGTATTCTTTGACCTCTGATAGCGCCACCACACCGCCAGGCCAAAACGACCACGATTATAGCGGTCTACTCTACCTGATGGTTCAGAAGCCTACAACACAGCGGCTTTTCAAAACGTGGAAAAGTTTTCCGACTATATCGTTTTGTTCTTCATCCCGGCATGTTTCTACAGCATGACACAACGTTTCACTTTCTTTTTCGTGTGTCTTTGTTACTCGGCGTGTTCATTCCAAACTTTCCCTCATTACAACTTTGGTCGTGGCCTACTCGGTTAACTCCGCTAAAGGCGCTGTAATGCGCTGAAAGGAACAACCTGCAGCGTGACAAGTCCCCGCGTTATCTCCTGCCTCTTGGGGAGTCCTTGAATTCGTCTGCCTACCTCGTTAATCCTTCGCAGGTCTTGGCACAGCCCCCTGACAGTGTCTCGAGTGTACATGTATTGCCACTGAAGGAGTCTGGAGTGTGCCGATGCCCCCCAACCCTTGTCGTTGTTCCCCTCGTGCCACTGTGCTGTTGTCATAGCGTTCCCGTACTATTACGTGCACTCCGCCCGCCTTCTCTTTTCTTGCCCTCTCTCTCGACGCTCTCTTTTCGTTGATATCACCCACCACAACCGCTAGTCTTTCATCTTCAATCGTCAAGCGTTGGCATCGCTAGACGACAACTTTTTATATCGGCGACACAGATACGCACAGACTGCGGTATCCGCATCCGCAACCGCAACGCGACCGTTTTTTCTTTCCTCCTTCTATGTCCTCTTCGAGCGTCGTCATGAGCTCAGCGGACATCTTCCTTGGCCTGCTGGCCCTCCTCTTCCCACCTCTGGCTGGTGAGTGACTACTTTCCGTTTTCGACCGTGCCGCTGGACCGCCGACCTGTGTGTACAGTGTGGTGACGTCTGTTGCCCTCGCTTCCGCTGCACACGGCCTGACTCCGGGGAACGATCGGGTCATTCCAGCAAAACACATACTAACACGCATCGGCAGTCTGGGTTAAGCGCGGCATCTGCTCTGCCGATTCAGTCATCAACATTCTCCTCTGTGTTTTGGGCTATGTAGGTTCTCCCGTTTGTTGCGTCATCTGCGACCGCCTCGCACTAACGTCTTCCAGATCCCCGGCCTGATTCATGCCTGGTACATCATCGCCAAGTTCCCCGAACCCGACTACGAGTACGAGGTCCTCAACCAGGACGCCGAGAACAACGGCCGCGTCACCTATGTTGTCGTGCACGGCAGCCGCCAGCACGGCAGCGGCCGCGGTACCAATGCCAACAACCGCCACCACGTCACGACCAACGGCCCTGCGGATGCCGACAGCAACGCCGTGCAGTCGGCTGCCCCCAAGATCCAGGACAATGTGAACTACGGCACGGCGTCGACGGGCAGCCCTGCTGCTGCGGCGGGCTCGTCCGCTCACGACAACGGCGGCGAGGGCGGCAGCGATGCCCCGCCGCCGAGCTACGCCCAGGTTGTGGCCGGCGACAACAAGGTGCAGAGCCAGGAATAGAGAATGCGCCACGAAGCTTCTCATCTCCTCCTCCATCTTTAGCCACCTTGCAGTCAACCAGCATCTCTCACCGGCATCACTCAATATCGGCCTCTTAAACGGATCCGACTTTTTTGCTCGGCCGACCTCGAGCCCAGCTCGATTTCTTCACGACCAACAACGTCCCTTTCTCTTCTTGTATTTCGTTTCTGGAACTTGGCCGGGATGGCTTATCTGTTACTGCTTAACTCTTATTGCGACCTGCCCAGCACGGATTTGCTCTTGCATTTGTTTTACAGTGTGCTTGTTTGTCACGTCATATCTCTACTGTTGTCTTTTTTTTTTTTTGGCTATTATTAGGCGTCGTGTATGTCTTCCCAATGCTCAAATCAACTGTATTAAACTGATTGAAAAAGTATGGTAAACTACGAGTGCAACCGGAGACACTCAAAATTGTGAAATACTGGTGCCTGGCGAATACGCCACCAGCGTGGGCCCGGCGTTAAGGTCCGTGACGTACGCAAACCAACTAATACTGGCACCTGCATAACACCTTGCCACACTCGGTCCTAACGGCGCAGTCAGACAGCTACGGCATTGATTGGATGATGCTTGTTTATATCTGGAGTTTGATTTTCCTATGCAGCTAACTGCAGTTTCCTGTCATCTAATCACCAGTGTCCGAAATCCTGTTCTTCCTTATCCGTAGATCATCCGCTTTTTCTAGCGACCTTTCTTAGACCCTTCCTTTCGTGCCGTATGCTAATTTTTTTCCCCTATTACTTGTCATCCTCCATCTCCTCATTGGCCGCCTCGGCCTCAGCGTCGGCATCGGGGTTATCGACAGACGGGCCTTCGCGCTCGTTCGGCCGGGGCTCCTTCCAGTCGGACATAAGCTCCTGCGGCAAGAAGGTGTAAAACGAGGGCAGCAGCTCTTTGACGACCGACACGAAATTGAGGTCGCAGTTGAGCTCGTGCATGACGACGCGCAGCTTCATGCCGGGGCACAGCAGGTCCATGAGGTCGACGTCCAAGAAAAACGCATGCCGCAACCGACCGCGGCGGGCCAGCTCGTCCTCAGTGGGGATTGGCTGGTTGGCAACACCTTCTTCAATGCGGTAGTGTTTCGTTATGACGACACCGGCGCGTCTGATAATGTTGTCCGCGTCCACTGCCTTGTTGGAGGTTGACTTGTCATTGGTGTTGGTATCGGCGTTCTTGCCTCCTGCCGCCTCCCCTTTGGCAGTGTCCTCGGCAATGGCTGCAGTATAGCGTCTGTTCATCGTAGAAGAGGGCCACACCATCTTGGTGATCTCGAGCTCCAGCTCACGGGTGCTAACGATTTGAATACTGGACATGTCGACCTGGGCCATCGTGGTCGCCCGGGTGCCAATGACCAGGTCCTGCAGCGCAACGGTTGCCCGGAAAATGTGTTCTGCATCCCAATCCTTGTTGGTGAGTACGGCCAGCGGGTCGAGGCCGTCATGCTCGGCCTTGTGCTCGGCCGTCTTGCAAAATAGCTTGGTGCATGCGATGTTGAACTGGCCTGGCATGAGAGGCAGTGCCCGCAGCAGGTTGGGCAACTCCGTCTGTGCCTTGTCACAAATTTGGCGGGCGTTCTTGACGTCCGCTTCGTACTCGGGGCAGACATCGTGGAGCTGTAGGTAGCGCAAGAAATTGTCGACGACGTCAATGCCGACTTTCATGAGCCTCTCGTTGCTACCACCAATGCTGCGGAGGGTAACAGACCTAGATGCATTAGCAGCAGAACCGTTTGGAAACGAAATTAGTGGTACATACAAAAATCCAGACAAGACCCCGGAAAAGTCAACGGTCCAGAGGTCGGCATTGTCCGAGGCGTAGTACTTGGAGTTCTTGCTGCCGGCACGCGACACGACGTCGGTGGCGGTCAGGGCGCGCACATCGTCCTTGGTCAAGTTCTCGCCGTCCTCCATGCCAGCGGCACCATTGAACATACGGGGCGTGCAGTCGATGCCACCGAGCCTGAGATATTGGTTGAACAGGTTGGTGCGGTCATTGTCAAGGCGACGACGGGCGCGGTAGCGCTGGATGCAAGTCTCGATGCGTCTGTGCCACAGTTAGTTATGAGCGCTAATCTGAAAACGGAGACGGAAAGATGAACGAACTCGTCAAAATTGAGAGAACTGTGAGTAAAATTGAGGTCAGCATGATGTTTACGCCCGGCATAGTTTGCCCAATATCGGCAGTCAGGGGCGGAGTGCATGCACAAGACAAGGCTGCATGCAAGGCGAACACCACCGGCGCGTGCCGGGCAAGATTGTCAACACGAAAATGGCGAAATGGGCTTCTTACGCGTGGTACAGGTCCAACTCCTCCTCAAACTCGTCGACGGTCAAGGGCGGTTCCGCATAGTATTCTACAGTTTCGCGATGGCGGCAGGTCGTATCGTGGAGCTCCAGTCAGTGTTCCGTTCAAAACGAAAAACTTTAATTGGACAGAATATGGAGGCTTTATGCACGAGCTTCCGACAGCTACTTAGCTTGCAGGAGCTTTACACGCTTTTGAGGCATCGCGCCAGGCGAATGGCTAGGCAGCAGAGCCACCACATCGCACGTCCGTTTAGGGATCCCGGCAACGAAATAAACGCAGCGCAAGTGCAAGGCAATACCTCACCTTCGAAGCCGGTACCGCATCTCTTGGGAAGGGCCGTCGGGCCCCGTGCGGCCGTGGACTTGCTCTTTCGCTTCTTTTTGCCCGTCACAGTGGCTTCCTGCATGTCGACGACTTGGGCAGGATCGTGAGCAAGGCCACCGGGCCCGTTGGCGATACCGCTCGGGTTACCCTTTTCGTCACCATCTTTGCTGGGGGCGTCTTCGAAGAGATTGGCCCTGCCGGCTTTGTCTGCGTGGGCGTCTCTGTTGGGGTCTAGTTTAGTGGTCGTTTTGTCGTTGTGGCCATTGTCGAACGGCGGCGCAGCACCTGTGGTATCACCACCGGGTGCCACCTGGGCCTCGACTGCCGCAGGCATGGCGACGAATAGGTGGTCAAAGCTCTCGGAGCTGTCAAGGTCGTAGCGGAGGTAAAGGCGAAGCTTTTCTCTTGCAAGGGCGCTCAATCCAATGACGGTAGGTCGGAAATCTTGACGTAAGGAGGGTATCAGCGGCGAGTGGCTTGGAGGAACGGACTCGAGAAAGCGGCTGCGTTCCGCCGGTGAGTAACGCGGCGAAGCGATAGAAGCGGAGATGTATGAATGGTGACGACGTGAGCAGGAAGTCAATACTATCACAGACGCAGCCAAGTGGGATTGTGGCCCAGATATGGAAAGTGCAGATGTTTTTGCTGAGATAGGAAGGCACGACGCATCAACAGCAACAACGCAGACAGGTATGATTTACTGTGAAAGAGCGCAAGGAGGGTGCCAACATTGGCGAGCTCGTCAAACGGGACAGAAAATGCTCACGACACGCTGAATTGCTTGTTTGCACTTCAGACTTTCAAACCACAATACGAGATGTCTCAAAACGAGCTGTCCACGCGGCTCGCGTTTGCTTGTCACTTCAACCATTGAGGTCAAGTGCAGAGGCCACACCGACTACGTGATACGAGACAATTCAGCACTTTGTGAAGTCATTAATGTTTGTCCTCTTCACTTCCGGTCGTTGCAGCTGCAGCCAAACGAGTCGTCGGCTTCGCGATGGCTGTGTTACGTTGAAAAGCGGGTGGTTCCCGATCTACGTCCCACAGTCGCCATAACAAACTGCACGTTTCTTACTGGGAGAGTGGGATATTTCTGTTAGAACTAGGGCGCACCCCAGGCATACAGGACCTAACGCATCTCAACATGCGAGAGAAGAGGGAAAAGTGAAATTGCACGTCCGCGCGCAGGTGGTGGCAAGTTTTTGCAAGGCCGGGTGAAAAGATGGAGATAGTACTAACAAATATGCTGCATTTGTACAACGCTTTTCGGGCAATCATGAAATTTTTTGGATCATCTACCCGCGTTGTGACATAAAGACGCAGGAGTTGTTTACATTGAATAACGGTTGAATGCACAACGGCGGCCAACTTTGTATATAGAGCAGTTGCATGCCACATGAGTGGTTTTGACAGTAAGTTTCCGAGTAAAAAGCACGACGTAGTAACGACATGTAGGCAGTACAGAACTTCTTCTCCTTGTATGAATTATAAAAACTGCACGTTATGAACATTTGTCCGTGTGCACCTTGCTTACCTGCTCTGGAGGACCATCCCGGTGCGACCAGACGCCGAGTCGAGCTCACCTGTTGCTCTCATTCCTTGGCTAAACACGTCATAGGAATCTTGGTGTCTCTGGTGTTCATGCCGCGAGCGCACTTGGTTTGTCCTTCAGTTCTACCAAGTGCTATAGAGTATTTAGTACATTGTGCTGCATTGCAACGTTTCCAGGTCTCCGAACTTCAACTACCTGAAAGTAAGTGAGTCCCCATAAGTACCGGTTCACCCCAATTCCGCTGGGTGCTACGTGATGTATCTTTTCTTAGCAATTCAATATAAAGGTACATCAAGGTACAAGTTAATATGTTCAAGCATTAAGAAGCTTGCCTACTTGTTAATTTTATTACTTGAAATCGGCAAAGAAGAAATTCGATCAAGTACTATTTGCATATAATTTATATACTAAATGTACTTTGCCTCATGGGCGGAAGGGATGATGAGCACTTAATCTGTATAACAGAGTACAAGAAGATGATAATACAGAGGCGTGGGGCCTGCGCACGCAACTGACCTGTTCGTATGACGCGGAAAGTAAACGATGGGCAGCGGTGGATAGTTAAAGGCACCAAGATACCAGTGCGACCAGGCTGGGAGACGACGAAAGGTCAAAGGAGGCATCAAAGACACAAAGGGGAGGAAGAAGAGCCAAGTACTTCGTACAGCAGACACGAGACTGAAAGGCCACTGTAAACTAAAAAAGGAACAACGGACACAAAAACAGACAGTGGAAGTGACAAGGATATGGGCCATGCATTGGCTGATGCGAGTATGGCCTCCATGGGCGCCAGGGGCAGTGCAGCTCACGGCGGCGCCAGCTTTCACGAGGCCGACGAAGTTTCCGTCACGCCTCTGCTGTGATACATTGTCACTCATTTTCTCTCATTTCACTTCGTATCGTCCATATGTCGCCTTTTTGCTCAAGAACGTCGCGAACTGCAATGTGCTGCGCCGGCAGGCCGGGCCAGGCAGTTGGCGTGCCTGTTTAGGGACTGTCATGCGAAATTTCTGTTTCTGCTCCCGTGCCAGCGGCCGTTTTGCGGGCCGCTGGGGCTTGCTGGGCTGACGCTGATGCACAAACCGAATGAAACGAAAGGCGAGGAAGCCTCCATTGAAAGCAAATCTGGACTGAAAGGGTGGCGGAGCAGCCCGAAATTTGCCTTTGGCTCTGCCCACAATGAGCTTCAGCCAATAGATGGCGAGGGCTGCGCCGGAAACTGCAGACTTCGCCCGATAGCAACGGAGCAGGAAGGTGCAGGACGATGAAAAACACGGCACAAGGGATGCCACAAAGAGAAACAGAGAAAGAGAAAGCGAGAGGACGAGAAAGACCAAAACACGCAGCCCCTCGATCCCGCCTTCCCGCAGCCACTATTCTTACCTTTGGTCCCTACATATTTCTTGGAAGGAACTATCGGCGCTAGCAGGGAACCAGTGCAAGGAACAACAAAAGCCCATCGAAAGGCCGCGCGAAAAAGACGCTACTGCCTCCTTCCCAGGATGTACCGTTTGGCGGTGAGTTACTAGTAATGGTACGCCCGCGCACATTCGTACCTTCCGTTAGAGGCGCCAGGCCACTTTCGCCCCCCGTTGAGACAATGAATTTCGTTCCAGGAATGAACCCAAGCAGAAACAACGACACAAAGAAAATCGACACCCAATTATTTATATCACAAACACGGCCACCCACAACGCAACACGAGCGCATCGTCACCGGGTACATCCCACGAGACTTGTTTATCCTGTCACACACAACCCAGACACTGGCTTTCTATTGCCGGCAGTCATATAAACCACCTGCGCCGTCATCCCAGTCTTCCGCCCCGCCCGAATGTCGCCCACCGCTCCTCGCGTCTCGCCATCATCATCTCTATTATCGACACCGACGCTGACACCGACGTTGACATTGGCACTGATAGACTGCCCCTCGATCAGACTGTGACTCCCTATGCAACGCTTCACTGATACTTCCGGCCACCTACCGCACCGTCCGCTTCCTGCAAGCCGCTTCGCGCCCGTCCTCTTTACGCGCGCCTACAACCGCCCTTTTCTCGTCGCGACATCCACCCAACGCCGCCTCGCCGGCCACTGGGCTCCAAGGCCCCAGACACAAACCAGCGACCATGGCACCAAGAGAGATGCCCAAAGTCTCTGAGCTGCGCGCCTATAAGAACGCCGTTGCCGGACAGTACGTACATGCGCCCGGATGCTTGACCACTTGTAACCCTGCTAACTCGCCAGTGCCGGAACACTGTCGGACGCCAATGGTGACCTGTTCATCAAGCCCTGCGTCCAGGCCGAGATTGACTTTTACCAGCGGGTCTTTCAAGGCGACCACGCCGCCCTGGCCAGCATCATACCGCTCTACATGGGCGAGCTGTCGCTGACCGAGACCACCGACGCGGCCGCCGCGGCCGTTGCCGCTGCTGGCGGTGTCGTGTCCGCCGACGTGCAACAGGCCATTGCCGGCCTCGACACGCAAACGACGCAGCAGGAGCAACGGCCTGCTCCGTCATTACCAGCTACTACGTCACCTGCCACCTCAGCAACCGTCGCAGGTCCCACTGCTGCATCGCAAACCGCCCCCGCCCCGCCTGACAACGTCACTTGGATTCCTCGCGGCAACGCCAGTATCAACAGCGACCGCGCTGTTGTCCTTGACAACGCCACACAGGGCTACAAGAAACCCAACATCATGGACGTCAAGCTCGGGCGCCGCCTCTGGGGCGACAGCGCGCCCCTCCAGAAACGCCAGCGCATGGACGACGTGAGCGCCAAGACCACCCACGCCACCTACGGCTTTCGCATCTCGGGCATGCGCGTCTACCAGGGCGATGCGGCAGCCGCAGCCGCCCAAGACCCGACGTCCGACGGCGCCGGTTACCGCATTTACGACAAGGACTATGGCCGCATCGAGGTCAACGACAGCAACGTCGTCGATGCGTTCCGCACGTTCTTGTTCAATGAAGCCGCCGGTGTCGACGACGCCCACGGCCGTGCCGTGGCCGAGGCGTTCAAGGCCGAGCTGGAGCGCGTGCGCGACGTGCTGGAGAGCGAGCACACGCGCATGTACTCAAGCTCGCTGCTGTTTGTCTACGAGGGCGACGGCGCCACTCTCCAGGCGGCCATCGCGGAGGGCAACGCGCGCGCGACGGCGCGCGAGGCAAGACAGAGAGAACGACAGCAGCGGGAACTCAACTTGTCGCCGACGCCCATCCGCGTGGTCGAGGCCGAGTCGGCGTGTGAAGAGCCCCAGACGTCGACAACGGTTGTATCGCTCCTTGACACGGAGGCGGCCGACGCCGCTGTGGACGTGGACCAACGCTCCCGCTCCCGGCGCGAGGTCCTCGGAAAGGCCGCCGACCGCTCGTCGAGTCGGACAGATAGCGGCATCGTCATCGACGAGGACGAGATGGAGGACCATTTGACCGTCGACGTCCGCAACCTGACCGAGGCCGACTTTTCCTTTGGCGACGACGTCGTCGGTATCATTGGCGCGGATGACTACGACGACGACGACGACGACGACGACGCGTCCGACACCGGCAGCGACAGCGACGGCGAGTCCAAGTCGCCGCCCATCTTTGGCCTCCGCCTCATCGACTTTGCCAATGCCAAGTTTGTGTCGCCCGCCGAGGGGCCCGACGAGAACAACATCGCCGGCGTGCGGAGTCTGATTGCCATCTTTGACGAGCTGACCAAGTGAGCCCAACCTGGACGACGCAGGCGTTGTCGCAGCGTGCTTCTTGGTCGTATACGTGTCTTGTTTTTCTTGTTGTTCTATTTCCTAAAAGCGGTTCTTCTAAGGCCCACGGCGTTTTCATACACACGTTCGCTTTATTCATTGATTCCCCTCTCGTCACACCCCACACATATAGGAGTCTATTTTTGTTATTTTTTTGTAGTGTTTTGTTGTTTTCTCGGTTTATCTGATTAAAGTAGGGCGAGCATATAGAGGTGCTTGCGGGGACATTTTCATAGGACATTCGCTTAAAGCATATATTTCTTGTTATTTCCTATCTTAACTTGGCTCTTGTATCGGGACGCATTGTTTTCAGGACAGGTTTAACACGAACTGATGAACAAATCCACTTCTCTGAAATAAGTGAAGACACTGTCGTAGCTCTCGGGCACGAAGAACAGCTATCGAAATAGCCTCGGCGGATCATCGGCAACAACCATGGTCGGGTCGTTGCTTGTCTTTTTTTCTTCTATTTCGTCCTTTTCGAGCAGTCCTTTCCTCAATTTTACATCACACGCTTCAGCACATCACAAGACGGCTCGCGTATATTAGCCGGTGCACCACTTTTCTTGTCTCGACAATGATGAGACACTGGTCAATACGCACTGCGAAAGGTTAAATTCGACGAAACCACTGATCGTCCGTCGTAAGTTTGGTTCTAAAGGATGAGGCTCTTCCGTTCCTCTTCCTTCGGTGTGGCTGGATAAAAACGTCAATAATTGATGTCGGCCTTGGGGGGAAACATACGTATTTAAAATTACGACAAGAAAAAGAATGATAAAAACAAAAAAAAAAAGACAAACAATTATTGCACCTGAGATCCGTATTGAATTTGTACATTCATTTTGATATAGAGACAATAAAAATAATGAATAAACATTATTCTACATATTTACTTTGCATCTTCTTCTCAAACGCAATTAAATGAAAGGACCACCATATACGCGATACATGCGACAATCCCCAACCGTTACATTCACACGGACACGCATCGCCTCTGGATCTTGGTTCACGCATGTCCTCCAGGGATTCTCCACAGCGGCCTTGTTTCATCCGATCGTGCATCTCGATGATACTTCTCCGTCTGCACAGAGCCATTGTCTGGTACCGGCTGCCTTGTAGTGTCCCCTACGTTTCTCTCCTCGCTTCATCGACCATCCTCGTCCCCTGTGATCCTGGGCGAATGACCGCCATGAACAGCCACATCCCGAACCAGAGCCAGGAAAAACGAGCATCCCTCCTATGAGACTGCATGGTGTCCAAGAGTCATGCCATCCGAAGCGGCAGTCCACGAACATGACTCTCCACTTGACAGGGGCGCGTAAATAAGGCAAGCACGAGAGGGGAGGCTGAACGGGCGTCACAAGTTTCGACGATCGCGCATCGGATGCGCTGTTTTCCTTTACACGTCTGCTTGCGCAGGCCCTTTCCCTGTCTCTGGCAGCCCGTGCAATACACTCAATGGAGCCAACAATGTTGCTCGTTCCAGACCGAAGTGCCATGTCGGATGCCGGGTCGAGAAGGGACTGCCACCTAAGAAGGAAGCAGGCAGGAAAGAGATCGACCTTCATAATAGACGTATTTCCTGGTCGGTTTGCTCTCGAGTCGTCTATTTTCTCTCTTCTTTCTCTCTCTTTTGTTCTCGTTCCCTCTCTCATCACCCTATCTTTGCCAAAGACCAGCGCTGCTTGAACCCGGTTGTTCGATCGCGTCATTCACTCTTTTGAATATTGTCTTTTTATACATAAATATATTTTTTCTCTTTTCCATCTCTGTATATTTATTCCATCCCCACCATGTCTTCTTCAGCAGCTGCGCTGCTTCTCTTCCTCGGCGGCGCCGCCGTCGCCCAGCAGATCGGCACGGCCGTCCCCGAGGTCCATCCCAAGCTGCCCACGCAGTTCTGCACGACGGCCGGCGGCTGCAAGACCATGCAGACCAGCCTCGTGACGGACGCCCTCTCGCGCGCGCTGCACGCCGTCGGCCAACCGTCCGTCGCCTGCGACGTCGCCAACAAGACCCAGTGCCCGGACGCCACCACCTGCTCCAAGAACTGCGCCCTCGAGGGCTATGACTATGCGGCGCACGGCGTGTCGACCACCGGCAACGCCATGACGCTGCGCCTGTTCAACGGGTCCGGTACCAGCGTCCAGACCCTGAGCCCCCGCGTCTACTTGTTGGCCGAGGACGACAAGAACTACCAGCTGCTCAAGCTGGCCAACCAGGAGTTCACGTACGACGTGGACATGTCCAAGGTCGGCTGCGGCGTCAACGGCGCGCTGTACCTGTCGGAGATGGACGCGTCCGGCGGCCGGTCGGCGGCCAACCAGGCGGGCGCCCAGTACGGCACGGGCTACTGCGACGCGCAGTGCTTCAACACGACCTTTATCAACGGCCTGGCCAACTTCAACAACTCGGGCGCCTGCTGCAACGAGATGGACATCTGGGAGGCCAACAACGCCGCCACCGCCATGACGCCCCACACCTGCAGCGACGCGGGCCTGTTCCAGTGCACCGGCGACGCCTGTGGCCGCGGCGCCGCGGCCGTCTGCGACAAGAACGGCTGCGGCATCAACCCGTACCGCGCGGGCGCCAAGAACTTTTACGCGCCCGGCGGCTCCGTCGACACCTCCAAGCCCTTTACCGTCGTGACCCAGTTCCTGACGAGCGACAACGCGACCACGGGCAGCCTCGCCCAGATCCGCCGCCTGTACATCCAGAACGGCAAGATGGTCAGCTCCGCCACCAAGTCGTCCAACGGCTCGACGACGTCGCTGTCGTCCCTGGCCACCGGGTTCGGCACCATCACCGAGGACTTTTGCACGCAGAACGGCGCCACCGACTTTGTGCGCCTGGGCGGTCTGCAGGGCATGGGCAAGTCGCTGGCGCGCGGCATGGTCCTGATTTTCAGCATCTGGGATGCGGCCGGCGACTTCATGACGTGGCTGGACAGCGGCGAGGCCGGCCCGTGCTCCGCGACGCAGGGCGACCCCAAGATCATTGCCATGAACAACTCGGACGCCGCCGTCACCTTTTCCAACATCCGCTGGGGCGACATTGGCTCCACCATCAAGATGTCGCCCAACGGCTCCATTGTCGCCGCCACCGACTTGGCCCTGTCCAAGCAGACATCCGGCGGCGCGCCGCTGCTGTCCATGTCGCTGTCGACGACCATCCTTGGTGGTCTGGCCATGGGCTTCGGCTACCTCTTGATGTAAGACGTCGGAGCAGATGGAATCGAACATGAATCAAGCATTGCTGGGACAGGACTCACCAGTGTCGAGGACGGCCAGCCATCCTGCTGGGCAGGCCGCATGATACACTGTGGATTGCACATAGAGACAAATCGAATGAAAAAATAAAAATGAAAACCGGAAGAGCATTGTGCAAGAACTTAAACGAGAAAACACATGTCCTTATGCTACACTAGATGAACCCCTGATAATAAAACAAAAGACTCTGAGTCGCCGAGAGTCTGAATGTGTAATGTGGAACGCTGGAAACAAATGTACAAAATGGACAGCACAAAGCAGAAAAAAAAAACCCCAAGAAAAAGAGCATCGACGCCAGCCTAACCCCACGTCCCGCCGCCGCCGCCCGAGCGGCCGCCGCGCTTCTGCGCACTGATCCGCCAGTCCTCTTCGGTCTGGAACTTGTTGTACAGCGGCTGGATCCGCTCTGCGCGCCGGCGCCGGCTGAGCCGGTCGCTTGGCGACAGCTTGAAGAAGGTCGGCGCCGCATCGACGAGCCACTTGGCGTCAATGGCAGTTGTGCACTGCATGTATTCCTTGGTCGTGAGCACCAGCGTGTCGTAAATGACCCACTCGGCCTGCTTGCCAAACAGCGCGCTTGACGGGTGCAGGTAGACGGGCGTCCCCTCAATCAGCGTCTTGAAGCCCTCGTGCGGGTCCTTGCGCGACGCGTTGCGGAAGAAGCCCGCGCACAGCGCCTGGCGCACGCGGTCGGTGTGCGTGCCGCACGACACGATGCGGTGCTTGTAGCGCTCCATGATGCGCTCGAGCTGGGTGCGCACGTCCTTGGCGCGCGTCAGCACGCGGTACTGCAAAAAGTGCTCCTGGCACCACGGCTTGCTGAAGCGCGCGCGCTTCCAGCTGTTGTACACGTTGAGCATGGTCAGGTGGTCGCCGTGCGGGTCGTTGAACTTGGCCTTCTTGGCGTCCGCCTGCTGCTGCTTGTCCTTGGGCCGGTACCACACGCCCTTGGGCTGCGCAATCATGCCCATGATGCTCAGCATCTCGTCGCTGCACCCCAGCTCGACCGACGCGATCAGCGCCTTGGACGACGTCGGGTCCATGGGGAAGTCGGCCATCTTGCGGCCGAGCTTGGTGAGGAGGCCTTCGTCGTCGAGCGCCGACAGCGCATACAGCTCTTCGAGCGCCGACAGCATCGTGTTGATCGGCGGTGGGTCCATAAAGTCAAAGTGCAGCAGGTCGTTGATGCCCATGGCCTTCAATATCAAAATGGTGTTGCTCAGGTTCTTGCGCTGGATTTCGGGAATCGTCGTCGGCAGCATTTCCGTCTGGTACGCCGCCTCCGTGTACAGCCGGAAGCACTTGCCAGGACCCGTGCGCCCAGCACGCCCGGCACGCTGGTTGGCCTGCGCCTGCGAGATGGGCGTGACGACCAGCGAGTCCATGCCGAGCTTGGGGTCGTAGGCATTCTGCTTGACGAAGCCCGGGTCGACCACATAGTAGATGCCGTCAATCGTCAGACTCGTTTCGGCAATGTTGGTGGCGATGATGACCTTGCGGCCGCCCGGGGGTGCCGGCTCGAAAATCTTGGACTGCACCTCGTTGGGCAGTGCCGAGTAGACGGGGAGGATGACGAGCTCAGGCACAGCAGCACCGAGACCCTTCATGCGCTCATACAGAATCTCGCAGCTGGTATCGATTTCTTCTTGGCCCGTCAGGAAGACCAGGATATCGCCCGCGGGCTCGGTGAGATGGATCTGCATCACCGTCTCCAGGGTGGCGTCGAGGTAGTCGGATTCGGGCTCGCGAGAGTACAGAATCTCGACGGGGAACGTCCGACCCGGGATTGTGAAAATAGGAGCACCGTTGAAGAAGGTCGAGAACTTCTCGGCATCCAGAGTCGCAGACGTGGCGATGACCTTGAGATCCGGTCGCCGCTTTACCGTCTTCTTCAAAAGACCAAACAACACATCGGTGGCTAGGGCACGTTAGCAGGAGAACATAAAAGATAAAACAAAGAGTGGGAGTATGTGAACTCACCAATCGTCCGCTCGTGGGCTTCGTCGAGCATAATCACCGAATACCGCTTCAGCTCCGGGTCGAGCAGAATCTCGCGCTGCAGCATGCCATCCGTCATGTACTTGATGCGCGTCGCCGGGCTCGTCAAGTCCTCAAACCGAATGGTGTAGCCGACCTCCTCGCCGAGCGGGCAGCCGACCTCTTCGGACACACGCTTGGCCACGCTCATGGCGGCCACACGACGCGGCTGTGTGCAGCCGACCATCTTGCCGCCGCTGGTGAAGCCGGCCTCGGCCAGGTACTGCGTGAGCTGGGTCGTCTTGCCGGAGCCGGTCTCGCCAATGACAATCAGGATCTGGTTGTCCCGGACGGCCTGGATGAGCTGCGAGCGGAACGAGTAGATGGGCAGCGACTCGCGCTGCTCTTTTATGCTGAGGTCGGTGCGCTTGCCAAACGACTGGTCCTTGTTCTGGATGATGCGCTTCCACTCGGGCACCGGCTCAAACCCGCCCGGGCCGCCGCTGCCAGCACCGCCGCCGCTGCCGCCGCCAGCGACCCCACCGGCACCGGCACCGCCACGACCGCCGTGGGCGGCACGCGCGTCGTTGGCAAACTTGCGCTGCTCCGGGTTGGCCATGGGGTCGTGCCACTGCGACGTCAGGTCCACTTTCTCCTTGTCCCGTTCGGCCTTGGCCGCATCGGCTTCTTGCTGCCGCAGCTCTTTGCGCTCCTTGGCCAGCACGGCGCCCGCCATGGCGGCGCGGTTGAGGGAGCCGTCGGGCGCCTTGACGACGCGGATGGGCGACAGCTCGAGCGAGAGCTTGGTCTGGCCGGCCAGGAAGGGCGGCTCTTCGTCGCGAATTTCAATGTCGACGTCCTCCTCGAGCTCGATAGTGCCCTCGCCCTTGAGCGTCGCGTTGTAGTCCTCCTCGAGGTCCGGGTAGTCGGACGCCTTGGCGACGCCGCTGGCAATCAGCTGCCGGATCTCCCAGCGCTCGGGCGACGTCATGCGCTTCTTGCCACGGCGGTTGGCCGCAGCGGCAGCCGCTGCACCACCGCCGGCGGCGCCACTGGCGTGGTTGCCGTCCATATCCAGGAGCGTCGAGCTGCTGATGCGCGCGCCGCCACGCACGCCCAGCGCCTCCATGTTGGCGCCCGACTGGAACATGTCCTGGGGTGCCATGTTGAGGTCCTCGCCCGACACCTGGTCGACCTCCTTCATGGACAGGCCGATGCGGCGGTCCTCCACCTTGACCACCTTGACCTTGACGGGCTGGCCCATGGAAACCACGTCCGAGGGATGGTCGACGCGCTGGCCGTCGACGAGGGCGGACACGTGCACCAGGCCGTCCACCTTGCCACGAACGCCGTGGATGTTGACAAAGACGCCAAAGTCCTTGATGCCCGTGACGTGGCCGTCGTAAACCTTGCCGAGCTCGGGTGTGTCGTCGAGCGGGCCGCTGTCGTGGTGGCTGTTGTGATGATCATATCGGTCGCGGCCGCCGCGTTCCTGTCGGTCGTCCCATCCATTTTCAAGCCCTCCGTGTCGCTCTCGCTCTCGTTCGCGCTCTCGCTTGCCGTTTGCGTTGCGCCTGCTGCCGTAGTTGTCGTACTCGTCGTCGGCGTCCTCGTATCCGTGGCGCCCGCCGCCTCGCTTGCGGCCCCTCGATCGTGAGCGCGACTGCGACGGCGAACGTGACCGGTACCGAGATTTGCGGTCGCGGCCGTTGCGGCCCCGGGGGCTTGCGCTGTCTCGTGTCCTTTTGCGTTCTCTGTCTTTTGCGGCGGTGGAGGTGGGGTTGGCCGTGGTTTTGTCCGTTTTCGGCGCTTGGCTGGCCAGGCCTTCGAGCAGCGCCAGAGCGTCGTCGATCTCGTCTGCTTCGTGCGTGTCATCGTCCGGATCGTCCGCCTCGACCTGCTTGTCCGGCAGGGACAGGCCTTTGAAGATGCTGTCTTTGTCGGACCGCTTCTTGCTTGACTTGCCGCCCGGTCCAGCAAGTTTGGCATCGCTGCCGTCTTTCGCGTCCTTCTGGGATCGGTTGCGCATCTCCGGATGCAGCGTGCACACCAGACGGTCGATGCTCTCGACGAGGCTGGGCGGGAAGTCGACGTTGAGCTCGACGAGCTTCTTCTTGAAGGCGCGAAAGCTGTCGCTGGCAAGGCGCTGGGCAATGATGAACTCGGCCACATCGCGGTCGTTCATGCCGACGTGGTTTTCCATCTCGGAGGCGACCTTGGCCACCAGCGAGATGACCTCGAGCGCCTCGAGGCCCTCCATGGCGGGCGGTGCTCGTAGTGTCGCTGCTTGCAAGTGCGGGTCGTGTTCGCGTTCGCAGCCTTCTGTCGAATCGTAAGGTATCGCTCGCGTCTTGATATTTGTGTTTGGCTGGGGCGCCGTCTTTTCGCTGTGACGTTACGCGGTTGGAGAATGAAGCAGAGGAAAACGTCACGACACAACGTGACGATGTGCCGTCAAAATTCTTAGTGCGGCGGCGACCAGGCTGAAAGGTGAAAGGGCAGCAGCGACCAGTGGTGGGCTGCAAAGACCCACTTTAATTGTACCGTCAGCCAACCACAGACAACGGCCAAAACAGCAAGCCGCCACAGAGGTGTAAGACGAACTTGTTGACATGGCCACGTGTATTAGTTGAGTTGTTTCTTTCGACTCGAGTCTATTCCATGACAGAAGAGAGAGCTCGAGAAGACCTACATTTTTAAAAGGGCATGGATGCTCCTCGTTATATTTCCTTTTTCTGTCCTTTGTTTCTCGTATTGCCCGTTCTGGCAGGAGCTCGAAGAACACGTCCAGCCGGAAGGAGCGCTGCGACACAACATATCAGAACCAGGAAAACAAAAAAAAAAAATAGTGAATTTATATCGAAGGTATTTTGAACTTGGCCGTGATGCAGCTTTGAGAAAATAGCAGATATGAGGCATATCGTTGGGGCTGGATAAGACTCGACACGATAAACACAATTGGACAGCATGACGTTGGGTATGCGCGATGAATTGGAGCTGTACTGAACGAGAAGAAAGCATGCAATTTCTATATACATCGTCACCAAGGCACCTTCATGTCTGCTCACGCCACATTGGTGATGGCCCCCGTGGGCCCCGATTCGAGCAGGGCCTGCAGCAAGGCCAAGTCCTTGAGCGCCTCCTGCGGGCTCTGCTGCGGATCGGCCTGGCCAGCCGCGACGCTCGCCGCGAACGCGGCCACTTCGGAGACGACGCCAAAGTCGGGCTCGTAGGTGTCGGTTTTGGGGTCTGTCTGCCCGCGGCGGACGGACACAATCGAGGACGGCGCCCATGTCCAGGTCACGCGGCCCTCGGTGGTGACGACCTCAATCTCCAAGACATTTTTGAACTCGGTGCCAAAGGACATGGAGATGGTGCCGTTGACGCCGCCGCGCGTGGACGCGACCGCGTGGATGCTGTCGACGGGCGGCAGCCGCTTCTCGAGGAGGGACGAAAAGCTGGCGACGCGGGCGACCTCGTCGCCGGCCGCCGCCAGAAGGAAGCGCAGGCCCGCGACAAAGTGCACGCCACCGTCGAGCAAAAAGCCGCCCTGGTAGCCGGGTTCCTTGCGCCAGGCGGTGTTGTAGTACTTGTCGTCCTCCAAGACGAAACCGTTCCGCACGAGGTGGAAGCCGACCAGGCGGCCGCCAATGTCCTTGATCTTGGCGGCGGCATCACGCACGACGCGCAGGTAGCGGAAGTTCTCGGCAACGGACCAGATGGGTCGCGTGGCGGCGGGCAGGCTGTCGTAGTAGGCGACGAGGTCGCGGGCGGCGGAAACATCGGGCGCGACAGGCTTCTCGCTCAGCACATGTTTCCCGGCCGCGAGGGCCTTGCGGACGACATCGGGCTGGGCGAGGATGGGCAGGCTGATGATGACGGCGGCGATATCGGCGCGGGCAAGGAGCGCGTCAAGGCTGTTTTCAGAGGCGGGGCTGTCGTAGTAAACCTGTGGTTTGGTTTCCTGTTTGGCCAGGGCAGCGAGTCCCTCCGCAGAGGCCTGAGAGCGGGAGTAGACAGCAAGCAGGTTGAGGTCCTTGGCAGCTTCGACAGCAGGAAGGTGTTCTGTTGTATCTTGTCAGTATGGATGTCCATAAGTACAGAGGGCCGGGCTGTTGGAATAGACTGACCTATTTTGGCAAAGATGCCAGCACCAAGCAGAGCGACACCAGTCATGATGAGAATGCAGTATCAATTTGGGTTAAGACGGATGTCTTTTTACGAACAAATGAGTTCAGAAGGCGGTTCAGAAGTCAGTTCAGAAGTTGGTACAAAGTAGGTCGGTTGCGCTGACCATGAATTTATCTTGGTTCGCTCCGTTCTGTATCGCCGTAGTGCTTTCCCCACCTCCCATGTCGACAATTTGTCCCCGCATAACGTTATACGGAGTAGTGTTGGCCCGGGTCTCCGAGAAAACGCCGCCAACGCAAATACGGATTCTCTGCGACTTTTTATTCGTGTCCGTTTGGCACGGAGGACAGGCATTCGGTAGGCATCTCGGCCAGGCTTACAGCATCACAAGAGTTGGCGGATACAAGGCACAACCACCCCGAAAATTAACGCCTTTGGACTGAGCGGCCTCGATGCGCATGACCATGGCCTGCACATTTTGTTCCGCATGCCAGGTGCGCAACGACACTAGAGAGGCCCGGACGACGGCCGTTGTGTCAGCACGAGGGGCGCACGCAGACATTGGAATCGGGTCCGTTGCAGAGTACGAGGTTAGCGTGCCAGGCCAGCAGCTGTAGTGTGGCCTCCTCGACCAGCTTCGGCGCGTCCAGCACGTGCTCGTTCCAGGCGACATCGCCGGCGCCGTGTCCGCTTTCACCACCCTGCATGCTTGAACAGATTCCGCACAGGGCAATCTCCGAGAGAAACCAGTACATACCGGTCTCGCCGTAGTGAAGGCTGAGGTATCGACATACAGAGCCAGTTGGCCAGAAAGTACATATATGTGCGCTGGTGCGCATAATTCAGAAATTTGCTACACATCATAGCAGAATGGGCCTTCAAAGGCACAGTGATCCTCCGTTTCCCTTGCCTGATCAGACGAAAGCAACACCAATGTGACCAAGTCCGCTACGCCGTTGTTGACCAGTAGAGTGCGGCATCGTCCACCACTTTCTGTTCCCAGCCCTCCTCTGTGAATGGCCCGAGCACTTCGACCGTCGTTTGGCCGGCCGCAAACAAGGACCGGCATGGCATATCCAGTGTCAAGTTCTCCGTATTGCCCGTCCCCGTCAGCGTCTGCAGGGTCTTTTCAGATGCGAGATACACAAGACGGCCGATATGCGCCCAGTAGATGGCCCCGGCGCACATGGCACACGGCTCCCACGTGGACACCATGGTGCACTGGGCGAGGTAGTCCCAGGCGTAGTTGTCGGCCGCATTGCGGGCAAGCTCGCACTCGGCGTGTCGGACGTGGGAGAGGGACAGCGAGGTCATGAGCACCGTTTCGCAGTCCGGGCCCAGCAAGAGAGCCGCAAAGGGCCGTTTGGCATGCGTTTCGCGGCCTGAGCGCTGGAGTTCGGTGCATTTGGATGCAGCGGCAGCCAGTCGCGCTGGCGTCAGCGTCGACGCTTCCAGCGAGATGGGTGTTTGGGCCATTTGTCGTTTGCCGTGGATGTAGTAGCAAGGAATCCAACGACAGAACGTAGTTTGGTTCTATTATACGGCATATAGGCCGGTTTTCGGAAAGTCGGCGGTGTCCGCTGATAAGACCTAAGCGTTTTGTTCCTGGCGGCAGCCGCGCATATCTTACACCCGTCCATGAGTAAGAGAGAGTGACTGGCTGATAAGCCCCACAGGCTTCATCTTAACTTAAGTCCTGTTCCATCAACTTCATCGTTATATATAGTACCCACAAGTTCGTATTATTAGTCCTAGAGGGCTATATTGTCTTCGTAAAGAATGTTTATATCAGATGCCAATCACCGCTTCATCCACTCCCAGTTAGACTTAGCAGACTTATTGTTTTGAGCATAAAAACACTACGTATAGAGGTGCTTCTAATAATGTCGAAAATGCCAAGAGTGCGGGCGTAGAGAGAGGACTTTGAGGCTGACAAGGAGCTACGCGTCTACATATCCAACCAACAGCGAGCATCACTCATCACAGCAACTCGAACGCGAACAGCGCCCTACTCCGTTCTTGTACAGTGTCCAAAACTTTAAAAGAAAAAGGATGATTACCGCGGATTATATCATCTTGTTGCACACCCAACAGACACAATGCACGCAAAATCCGCAACCACGAACTTTATCCAGGATTCTTTAAAAGTACGACGTCTCTCACCGTCCCTTGTCTCCTCTTCCCAGACCCATTTCTTTGCACCTTTAGAACAGAAACTCAATTTATACGTCTCGCTTTTGGAATCCTTGTTCCTTCTATCTATACTTTTGGTCACATCGCTCTTCACCTTGATACGCGCTTCACAACGGCGACCAAAACAATGAGTTGCTTGTCTTGGGAGCGTTTCCCCCCAGAACTGCGCCTCCTTCTCCTCAAGCACATCGCTGGACCCGACCCAGATCCACACCAGGGGCCCAGACATTGCTCAGAGGCAGAGGCGGCAAGGAGGGGCAGGGCAGCGGGAGCGAAACTGCACACATACGCGTGGGCACCGTGTGCGGCCGTCTCGCGCGAGTGGCAGGCTTTTTTCGAGCGACGCACGTTTGCGTCGCTGGCGCTGTTCAACGACGATGTGGAGCCGTTTTGCGCGGCGGTTCGGCGGCGTCCCGACCGGCTGGCGTACGTGGGCCGGCTGCGGCTGACCATCGACCTGCCCGGGTACACATGCGAGGAGTGTGGCACAGACGAGAATGCGGCGACGCTCAAGCGCAACAACATGGCCTTTACGGGCGTCCTGTGGCGTCTGCTGCGCGGGCTTGCCGCATGGACGGGCCCTGTGTCACAAGAGCGGGGACTGCGGCTGGAGTTGGGTGTGCGCTCCATCAGCGATGGGCAGCACATGTGGCAGGAGTACCGCATCTTGCATCCGTACGGCACGATACGCTGTGGCCAAGACTACAGGTGGTACTTTAGGGAAACACGGCACCTCCGCAAACATTGTAGGTACGGATGGGAAAAAGGGGGGGTCGGTGACATTGTCATTCCACGAATCCGACTACCGCCTGCGGGCTTTCGCCGTATTTTCGGGACACGTCCCCTCGCACTAGACGCCGATGGTGTCGAGGCAGATGCGATAAACACCGGAACCAAGGAAAGCAAGGAAGACAAGGGACGGAAGCGGTGCAGCAACCGGCATCTGCGATATTGGATGCGTCATGGCCCACCGGCCGCGCCGATTGTGCAGACACTTGTCGTCGGCCGCCGGTTCTTCCGCGCGATGCACCCCAATACTTTGCACCACCTGCTCCATGCGAGCTTTCCAGGCGTGCAGCAGGTACATCTGGAGCCGTGGCGGCCTCTGGATGCAGCCAACTTTGACACCATGGAGCGCGGCTACAGCCGTCTGCTCGCCGATCTGCCACCGTCGCTGCGTTGTCTCAACCTGTTTTTGGAGAGCAGCCTTACGCTTCACCGGCAGTTTCGTGGCTTTGACGGCGAACCCGTCGGCCTCACAGCCCTGACCTTTCGCCGACTCCGCCCGCAGCTCGGACGCCAGCTCGCCGCGGGCAGCAACAACCTGACCGTGATCAACGTCGCCTTTCTCTGCAACGCGGACGACTTCTTTGCAGCCGCGGCAGGTCTGCCCGCAGCGACACACACGTGGCCGCGGCTCGCCACGATCGTCTTGACGGCGCCGACGCTGGCGCCCTCCTCGTCGCCCGATGCCATTGTGCGACTGCTGCGGCGGGCGGCGGCCGTGGCGGCGCGGATGCCGCAGCTGCGGGAGGTCGAGCTCTGGTATGTGTGCTGCCAGAACGCATGCACGTTTTCGGTCACGCTGGCGCCGTTGACGCCCGGCGGCGCTCTCGCGGGGATATCCAGAGGGGCGGCACCAGAGGCGCACTTGACTCTCCGTTCCACATGGCCGCTGCAGGCGGTGCTCACGAACCGTGTGGTCGGCGCGTGGCGGACGGTGACCAGAGAGTGGGTCAGAAGGACATGGCCGTCGGCCGACGAGTGTCGTCTTGACGACTGTCTTGTCGTCACAGTTGAGACGCTCCAGGTGAGCTCAAGTGCTATGGAGCGGGGCATGGATGCGCGCATGCTGGTGCTCACCGGCAGCACACTGGCCAGCAAGTACATGTTTCGGCAGTCTTGCGAGGACATGCAGATGGAACGGACCGGGAATTGGAGATCGCTTTTTGCGGTAGTATGATATTGAATTTCATGGCGGATATGTATGAAAGGTCCTTGTTTCGGAAATGTACTTGTGATATAGAAAAAAAGGGAAATCAAAACGAGACCCACGGCGGCGCCAATACAATATACAATACATTTTACGTATATTCTTATTCCGTTTCCGTGTTTCCAAGTCTTCTGAGCACGGAGGTCTCGTGACATATTTGCATCACACAAGATTCGAACGGAAGTGGGCATCGAAGGTCAAGGCCAGTCGGTGAGCAGACTCATCCTATGGTGTAGTAAACTCCAAATCCGTTGAACGGTCATTTGAACAGTCCCTCAAGTACCAAGAAAGAAAAGAAGAACGGAAACAGTGAAAGAGCGAAAGGGCTTCAGGGCAGGGACGTCCAACGCTCTTGCCTACTGAGGTTGTAGGTGCAATGAGCGTCATATTTGTTGGCGACAGGTAGCGCCTTCCTGCAACGCAAGATGCAGTGACCCAGCCCAGACATGTTCTTTCCATAATAACAGAAAATGTCAATAAACAGAAAATGTCAATAAACAGAAAATGTTGGAACCAAAACATGGTCGCAAGACGATGTTTCTCCACCACCACAGCTGCATCTACAACGCCCACCACCGTCACAGACAGAGACCACGAACAACAACAGCAGCAGCAACCAGAAGAGCAGCAGCAGCAGCAGAAACAGCATGCCGCGTGTAAGAGTCTTCTCCTGTCAAGCTACGAGTCCATGCTACTGCGCGCCTAACTAACATGCGCTGTGACAGGCAACTACAGGTCGTGGCCGGCGTGGTCGGCGTGGCCGGCGCCAAGGCATCAGGAGGAGCCGAGCTGGCGGAGGAGGACGGCTTCGGGCCGACAATGAGGACCTGCTGACGAGAGCACTGGCGATCATGCGCGAAGAGGAGTCGGAGGAGAACCGCAGGACCGCCGAGAATTCACGCCGGGAGACCATTGAGCGATTCATGCATGAGGCTACCAATGCCGCACAGGGGGCAGAGATGGCAGCGGAGCAGGCTACAGTGGCGAGAAATGAGGGAGGAGCTGAGATTGCTGCCGGACTGGTCTGGAGTCCGGGCGATGCTGCGGCCGAAGCCCGCCAGGAGGCGGAGACAGCTCGTGCGGAGAGAGAGCGCGCAGTGGCGGCAAGGGCAGAGATGAGGAAATACCGCCCCACCCTCATCGAAGCTGAAAGTATGGAGGTCCAAGTGTCGGCAGCGGCGAGGGCCGCGCAAGTTGCGGAGAAGATGGCCGAGAACATGGTGGCAGCGGCAGCGGCAGCGGCAGCAGCGGCGAAGAACGAGGCGGACTACCATCTGCATCACCCGCAACTAGGCGAGGTGGTCGGTATGGCACGCGGAGACGACATTGTGCAGTTTCGCGGCCTTCCGTTTGCTGCAATTCCGGGTCGATTTCGACAGGCGACTCTGCTTGAGCAGCTCCCAGAGAATCCGTTTGATGCTCGGCAACCAGGGTGAGTCACCTTATGTGATACCGAAAGGCACAAGACTTACAACTCACATTCTCTAGCGCATACTGTCCCCAGCCACACATGCCGTTTCTGGAGTACTGGGACGGAGGACCTGTCAGTGGCTCTCCAGAGATTGCCATGCCGCCGATGGACGAGTTTGCCTGTCTCAATGTCGACATTACGGCACCTCGGTCGGCCGTGGAGAGCGGCAACGCAGGCGTGCCCGTCCTCTTTTTCGTCCACGGCGGCGCGTACATCGGCGGCAGCCACAGCGTCCAGGTGGCCCGGCGCGAGGTCTACGACGGGACCGATCTCGTCCGCGCGTCCGTCGCCGCCGCCCTCCCCGTTGTCCTGGTCACCTGCAACTACCGCCTGGGCCCCCTGGGCTTCCTGGCGTCGGAGGAGCTGGCCGCCTTCAACGCGGCCCACGGCGAGCCCGTGGGCAACTATGGGCTCCACGACCAGCGGCAGGCCCTGGCGTGGTGCGCGCGCTTCATCGGGGGTTTTGGCGGCGATGCCGGCGCGATGACCATCAGCGGCACCAGCGCCGGCGGCAGCTCCGTGCACTTCCAGAGCATCTATCCGGGCCCGCGGCACTTCCAGAGGGTGATCGCGTCGAGCGGCACGATGATTGGCATTGGCCCGATGCCCACGAGCTACCAGCAGAAGAACTTTGATGCGTACATGGCCAAGGTGGGCGACGACGGAACACGCCGTCGTAGAACACGAGGCCGCGATGCGCTTGACATGGTCCGGCAACTGCAGCAGCTTCCTGTGGACGACATGGTCACGCCCGTGACGACGGACATTTACTATCCCGTTGTCGACGACGAGTGGATCAAGGGCGGCTACCTCCAGGACTTGGAGACGCCGCGCCGCGAGGACGGTAACGAGCCCGATCTCATGATTGGTGCCTGCGCGTACGAGGTAGGATGGCACAGCTCACAAACAAACCGCCGGGGGGCCCGTCAATCATGCTAACGTCTGTTGTGTCCCTCGACTACAGCAAGATCTCACAACGACAATTCTCATGGACATGGGCACCCGCCAGCCCCACGCCGACGACCACATACGCGGCAAGCTGTTCAATTTCTTCGCGTCCAACGGCATGGTCGCCGACGCCAGCGCGTTTCCCTCGCCGCACATCGCCGACGACTACGGCCTCACAGCGACCCTCAAGACGCCGTCTGCGGCCGTCGCGCCGTGGGCGGAATTCATGGCCGACGTGGCTTTTCGCATTCCGCCGCTCCACATTGCCCTCCAGCACCGCCGCGCCAGCGGTGTCCTCGTCTACAACATCGAGGCCACAAATCCCTACCCCAACTGGCCCTCGTCGTATGGCCGGGCCAACCACGCCATCAGCGACCTCTTCCTCTTCAACGCCGCCCCAGACCAGGTTCCAGCAGAGCTGCGTGATGGGTACGGCGGCGCTGTCGCACAGATCCGGTCGGCCTGGCTCCGCTTTTGCCACGGTATCCTGCCGTGGCCGCCCCTCAGGACGACAGACGGCACACTGGGGCCCATTTATACGTTCCAGAACGGACCGGCCGGCCGCCTGAGCGAAACTTTGGAGGAAGCAGTTGGTGAGCAGAAGGCGACGAAATGGAGGAGCATTCTGCAGTCGGATGCGACAGTGTAGACAAAGGGCCTCATGCAGGCGTAGCGGACACCGTATTGCCTCGTACACTGATAGAGAGTAGGCCTACGACTTGGCGACTCTGAGCAACAATTGTTATTATATGAGACAAGATTCAGCCTATGAGTACCGTGGCCAGTATTAAGGTACATGCGAAAAATAGTCCAAAAGTATTGTACAGGAAAGGAAAGGAAAAAAAGGAATGGCAAAAGTATTTGTTGGTCGTCGTCGTCCACCATCCACAATCGTCTACAGCTGCACCCACGAAATCTGCAGGATCACGCCGGACTGGTCCTTGGTGTAGATGGTGCCCTGCGTCGTGCCCGACGGCACGGCCTTTGCATAGAACGTGTTGGACGCGCCGTGCGTCAGGTAGCTGCCGTCGTAGCCAAAGCTGCTGGCCGTCGTCACCGTGCTGGCGCACAGCAGCGAGGCGTCGTCTTGGACGGCGCACTTGCCCTTGGACGTGTTCAGCGTGAAGGCGACGCCGTCGGCCGCGGGCGTCGCCGTGTACGTCGCCGGGGTGCCGCCGCCGCGGTACCAGGTGCCCGCCGTGATGAGCACGCCACCCGACGCGACGCCGGGCGACGAGACCTCGAGGTGGCCCTTGCCCGAGAGGGCGACGGCCGAGCCGGAGGGGGCGGGTGCCGACGACGACGAGGCGGACGCCGACGAGGCAGGCGCCGACGAGGCAGACACCGACGAGGTGCTGGACCGGGTGACGGTCGACAGCGTCGAGGACGCCGCCGGCGTCGACGAGGGCAGAGACGACACGACCGACGACGGGCTGATGCCGCCGCCCGGCGCAACGTTGGCGCCGCAGACGTTGAGCAGAGCCACCGTGGGATCGTGGTCCGACGTCTGGTCGTTGTAGCTGACCCACGTGTTGACGTGCAGGTGCTCCTCCTTGGGGCCCAGGGCGGCAATGGCGCTGCTGACAAACACGTGGTCCAGCTCCTCCATGTTGTTGTCAAACGTGTACGTGTAGCGCTCCTCGGCCGGGATGCCGGCCGCCACGTCGAGGTCCACCATGCCCGAGACGTTGGCAAACGCCGTCACGGGCTGCACGACGCTGTACTCGTTGAGGTCGCCCCCCATGATGACACGGGCGTCGCCGTCGAGCGACAGAATCGACTTGATGAACGCGCCCGTGATCTGGGCCTGCTGCGTGCGCTTCGCCACAGAGAGGTTGACGGGCGGGCGCAGGTCACCCTGCAGGCTAGAGCTGCCGCCCTTGGACTCCCAGTGGACGTTGACCGTGAAGAAGACGTGGCTGCCCACGACCGTCTGCCACGCGGCCGCGAGCGGCTTGCGGCTGCTGGCCCACGCCGCATTGGTCGGGTCGATGCGGCCCGGATTGTACTTGAGCGCGGGCTTGCCGCCGTTGCTGGGGTCCGCCACCACCGCGTTGGCATCCAGCGCGCCGCCGGCCGTGCCCGTCGTGCTCTGGGCCAGGCGCACCACGGCCGCGTTGTACAGGTACGCCTGGCGGATGTTGCCGCCGGGCTGGCCGCCGTCGGCGTCGTTGACCGGGTTGATCCACGTGTAGCTGTACTGCAGGCCGCCCTTGCTGGCAATCGCCGCCACCAGCGTGCTCAGCGTCAGAGACGAGTCGACCACGCCGTTGTCTGTGGCGCCGTTGTTGTCCTGGATCTCCTGCACAAACAGCACGTCCGGCGTCTTCATGTAGTCGACAATGTGCGCGGCCACCGCCGCGACGTGCGCCGTGTCCGACGGCGCAAAGTTCTCAATGTTGTAGTCGCCGACGGTCAGGCCCGCGCACGTGCCGGTACTCCGCAGCGTCGTCGGCGGCGGCAGCGCCGGCGCGGCCGAGCTCTTGTAGACGGGCGCCACCAGCGGCAGCAGGTAGTAAAAGCCGTACTGGTAGTGCACGACGCCCGTGATGTCGCCAAAGGTGTCGCCGATCTTGTACGTCGTCACCGCCTTGGTGCCGTCGAGCGGCGCGCCGACAATAATCGCCTCCGGGTTGGCGTCTTTGCTGCCCAGCGTCAGGCCGCCGCGGCCGTTGCGGCCCGTCGCCGTCCAGTTGCCCACCATCCACGTCTCGCCGTAGCTGTTGGGCTTGGCGATGGCCACGGGGCGCGGGAGTGTGACGAGGTCGCCGTTCAGCGCCTTCCAAAAGTCCAGGCCGTACACCTCCGGCTGCAGCTTGGGGTTCGCCACCGACACCTGGCTGACGTTGTTGGGCACGCCGAAGATGTCGCCGCCGTCCAGGCTCGTAAACTGCTCCGTGGGCGGGCTCAGCGACGACGAGCTGCCCAGCACGCGCGGCTTGGGCGCCCCGCCCTTGCCCGCCGCCCAGCCCTGCACGACGGGCGACTCCAGCTCCGTCGAGTACAAGTATGCCGCCGACGAGCGGTACTCGGAGACCTTGCCGCTCAGCGTCAGCGTGTCGCCGATGGCGATGCTGGCGTTGCCGCCGAGCGTCGAGCTGTACACGTACAGGCCGTTGCCAATGCGCGCGTCGCACGACAGCTTGGGGCTGCGCAGGAACAGGCCGGCCGACGACTTGGCCGTCACCACGCCGACAACGCCCGAGACTGACTGGCCATTGTACGGCGAAAGAAACCTGTTGCCCGTGATGTCATGGATGCTCTGAGCCTGGGCGACGACGGCCGTCAGAGCGAGCGTGGCGAGGAAGTTGTTCATGGTGAAGGGTGCCGATGCGTGACCGATGAGCGGCTTCCGGTCGTTGAGGTTGGGCCCTCCCCCTGTAGGTCTCGTTTTGCAACGACGATCCCTCCTCTTTATCTATTTATTTCCCAGCTTGCCATCAGACGACTGCCCTGCTGCCATCCGAGTCCGCCTGCCCTGTCAGGAACAGGAAACGAACTGCACCGATCTGGGTTCGCGTTTCCTTGTCAGCCAATAACGCGCCCGACAGTGTGGCAGGCCGGGGGGCCAGACCTAGACCAGGCGACCGGAAACCACGTTGTAATGAGCACAGCTGCGCATCTGCAATCTAAAGAATCGTCCATCCTTTGTGTCTTTTCCGCATGCTATTGGGTGCTGTTGAGCTTTGGGGTGAATGCGTCGTGGAAGTGATGTAAAGTGTAACTGCATGCCAAGAGCCCCTAACGACCAGCGGAAAGAGTAGCCAGGGGCACGCTGGGCCGTTCCTTCCAATCGTGGCGTCAGCCTCTCCCGCGTGCCTCTCGATGAGGTCTTGGCATTATCTACTTGTAAATACTCATCCAACACGTCCTTCAGTCTTGAAGCCCCTGTCCGTGATGAGAAGGTTGGCCGGAGTACGAAGTCGGGTTGTGTTCCTGGAACTGCCAAGGCAGGCCTTGTCGTTTAAGAACACCGACGCTTTCGTTTTCTCTTCCTTTTTATCAATAATCAATAAATCGAGGCAACAATGGCGAGGCGGCAGTCATTGACGAGCTGCCGTTACGTACTCTATACTCTTTACCATCGTCTGGGCGTCTTGCTTTGTTGTTTTCGTGCCGAGTTGGAAATGTCGCCATATTGTGGGTGTCTTGATTCGGCACCGCAAAGCTTGGAAGGCGACTAGAGATGTATTAAACATGACGCTGGGTAGAGCCAGTCAGAGACAAAGCAAGAGCAATAGAACATTGCATGTTGTAGATTCTACGATAGTCCCTACATGGCAGATTTCTACCGAATAAAATTTCGGGTAACGAATAAATAACACAGGCCGGCAACAGACAGATCAGCAATCTCTTCTCCCATCCGAGTAAAAGAGCGTGTGATCCAAAAGATACGACAACGATAGAATGGTAGTTTTCAACATGCACTACAGAAAGGATCGACTCTCCGCATGGCAGGCGACAAACGGCAAACGGCACGAGAGGATCAAATAAAGTAAGGATTGTAAAGAAGGTGAACGTGGGCTGTGGACATGGCTAAATAAGCTCGCGTTGCAAGCACCACTAACAAAAGCTGCCCTGGATCTAGCCGTTTTCCCTGTCGGTCAGTGTCTACCAGCACGTGCTCTGCCTTGTACGAAGAGCACGTTCTGCTGTTTCTTTGCTTCGAAGAGGACTTGTCGGAAGAAAATAAGCTATGTTAGGACTCCACGTCAACTGATCCACATATTCACTCATTTCTTTTCAACCGCGTTGTCCTTGTGGAGCAGAAAGCAGGACTATGGGGTATTACTTCGTACGATGGACAGTCGGTCTATTTGTGCCGTACTGCAGATGGCAAGGAGAACCAATCAACGTCAAGAGCCATGGGAACACATATATTACACATGGCATCGGATGCAGGGTATGATTTACATCATGTCGGATGAAAGAAAACGCTGTCATATAAAGTCTGGCCATTTGGACCCTAACATAATACTAAGCACAGAAACGTACCGTGACACAAGCAAACCACGGCTCCAGCCATCCCTTCTCTACAAAATACATCAAAGCCTCAGTCTACAGCTCGCCCATGGCGGGCGTCTTGGCACCGTCCACACCGGCACTCTTCTCCAGCTTGTCAAAGTCGGCAAACGCCAGCTCATACACAAAACCCAGCGTCATGCGCGCGTGCTGCAGCATGTGGTCAAACGACAGGTACTTGATCAGGTCGTCCGTCGAGTGGATGTGCTTGTCGCTGAGCTCAAACGACGACTCAATCACAAACGCCGACGGGTAGCCCGCCTTGCTGGCCGAGGCATGGTCCGAGCACGCGTAGCCGCACTTGGTCTCGACGAAGGGGATGTCGCAGTAGGCCACAATGACCTTCTTGATAAACTCGGTGAGGGCCGGGTCGACGTAGTCGACAATGACCCCGACGCTCTCGACCTGGCCGGCGTCGAGCGTGCCCTGGGCGTAGCCCGTCATGTCCTGCTGCAGCATGGCGCGGACGTCGTGGCCGGCCTTCTCGTAGGCGCTGAAGATGGCCTGCGAGCCCAGCAGGCCGCCCTCCTCGGCCGAGTACCAGTGGAACTCGACCGTGTTGGGCGCCTTGCCGGCCTTGATGTCCTCCGACTGCAGGAGGGCCGTCAGCGCCTCGAGGATCGTCACGGTGCCGCTGCCGTCGTCGTCCGAGCCCGGTGCCGCCAGGATGGACGGCAGGAACAGGTTGATCGAGTCCTGGTGCGCGCCCACGACAATCGTGCGGTTCGTCTGGCCCGGGATGCGCGCGATGATCGAGTTCTGGCCCCACGGGTGCGGGAAATGCTCCACCGTGATGCCGCTCTGGCTCTGGAATCCGCCGGCCGCGCCCACAATCTTCTTGACCTGCCCCAGCAGCCACTCGGACGACTGCCGCCCGTAGTCCGACTTGTAGTAGCGGGTGTGGAACGACGTCAGCTTCTCGAGGTGCGCCTGCAGCGACGCCTTGTCCAGGTGCTTGGCGAGCGGCGCCACCTCGGACTGCAGTGTGGCGTTGGCCGGGAAGACGCGCGTCTTGCCCGCTGCGTTGACCTTGACGGTGTTGATCGCGCCCAGCTGCTCCGTCTCCGTAATGTCCATGAACCGCAGGCCGTTGCGCTTCAACTCCCACTTCTCCTCCTCCGTAACCCAGCGGGTCTCGCCCGGGCCCAGCTCAATCAGAAACTGCTCCGCAGCCGCCACCTCGGGGTGCAGCTGGACGTTCTCGCCGTTGTGGCTGTCGACGAAGCGTGCGGCCACGGCCGGCAGCAGCAGCGCGAGGGCGTTGGCGGCTTTCATATTGTGTATACGGGGAGGGAGGAATTTGAGAGAATGTGGTTTTCGGAAGGAGTTTTCGATGATAGCGTACGCAGTGTCGATGCTTGTCCTGTGGCCGTTCTTGATATTGTTTTGTTGTTGTTGTTGCTGTAGGGGAGAGCTGTTTGGTGTATGGGGAAGGCGAGGATGACGGATCAGAAACAGGCAGCTCTGGCTGATTGCGCCAGCGGCCTCCGCACTGCGTGACTGATAAGCAAACAGTGGTGGGCTATCTCCTTCCTAGGTTGGCCAGGCGGCGCATGTATGGGTACTGCGGGCATATTCTCAAGCACGAAGCCATGTGATTGGCTGGGACCAGTGCGGAGAGTTTCACAGTGGATTGCGTGCCACGCGGTCAAAGTGGTACGTCTTAGAGCCGGATGCAGTCACTTACGCTGAAGGACCCACTGTGGACGTTAGCAGGCACAATGTACGGATTAGCGAGGCCCGAATACCATACAGTCTACTTTGTAACTGTTGGGCATCTCATGGCATAACGGACAGAGCTTTCCTGGTAAAATTTGCCGGCATCATAGTCATTCCGTATCAAATCAGTTGCTTATCAAACTGCTTGCTTTCTCTTCTTGCTCTCCTACATGACGTGGCAGGCGCACGATCCATGCAATGTAATGTACGCCGTCCATACAAGTCAAAACGCTTTCTATATGTCGATGGTCTATATTCAAGGCGTACGCTTATGAAGGTCGCTTCCACGCTTCCATCCTCGTTCCGTCCTCCTCTTTCCTTACATGCTGTCTTCCATCTGCCGGCTCCGCGTCTTAGTCCAGTTGTCGTGCTCGGGTTTGCCGCCCTGGCTTTCGAGACCCATGCCACGCTCGACCCATTCCTTGCTGCCCATCTGCGTCAGCCGTGACAGTGCACGCCCAAAGGCAAAGGCCTCCTCCTCGCCGGTAAACAGGTTCGAGTGCTTGAGCTCGGCCATCATGTTGTGGCCCTCCATGCCGTCGACGAGGTGCTCAATCGACTCGTTGGTACTCTGGCCTTGCTTTGTCAGGGTATCAATGATCTCGTCCTTGGACACAAAGAGCTGGTTGAGCGGCACGGCCGTCGTCAGCACCAGCTTGGCCTGCGCCTCGTAGACGGCGTCGATAAACGTAATGAGGCGTCGCGCGAGGTCGCGCTGCCGGTGCGTCATGCCGGGCACATCCGTCACGATAAATGCGTCGTACGCGCGCACGAGCTCCAGGTAGTCCGCGGCCGACGTCGGCTTGCCAATCAGCTCATCAAACGTGAACCAGGCACACCGGCCGCTGACGCGCGGCACGTGGATCTCGCGGCCCCAGACCTTTTGCACCTCGGGGTGCGGTTCCGGGTGCTCACGGTCGCCCAGGAAGCGGAACCACTTTTCGGCGTGCGACGCCGCGTGGCTGTCGAGTGGTGTGTGATAGACGCCCGACGGTGGACGGGGAATCTTGCGGTAGTCGGTGGGCGAGTCGAGATTGATGACATGCAGTCGTCGCTTGAGCAACTCGATCGCAGGAATAAGGACTCCCGCTGGATCCCATTCTTGTACAGCTCGTCCGGCTCGCGGTTGGACGTCGTCACGAGAACGACTCCATGCGACATGAGCGCCTCCAGCAACCGCCGCAAAATCATGGCGTCCGCCACATCGGTGCACTGGAACTCGTCAAAGCACAGCACGTTGCCCTGCTCAGCAATGTCGGCCGCCACAAACGGCACAGCGTCGATTTCGTTGCCGTATTTCATCTTCATCTGGTGCAGCCGCTTGTGCACATCTTGCATAAAGTTGTGGAAGTGGATGCGCGTCTTGGACCGCACGGCGCTCGGCAGCGTGTCGTAAAACAGGTCCATGAGCATGGTCTTGCCGCTGCCGACGTCGCCGTATAGATATAGACCCTGTGGCAGGTTCTCGGGGATCTTGCCGAGGGCCGCTTGTTTGGGCCCGCCGCCGCCAAAGAGGGATCCCATAAACGACTTGGGCTGCGGCTGGAGACTTTCAATGTCTGGGTGCACGACGTCCGGCGCATGGTAGTGGCGCAGCTCGTCGTGCATGTGCTGCAAACTCTGTATGATTCCTGGATTGCGTGTCAGTTATTGTCCTTCGCTTCTAATTTTCCGCAGCCTCTCACGAGGGCAGACGTACCTCGCTGGTGCTCGTCATTCCGCAGGCGGCCGGCCTCGACACGCCGGTCGTACTCTTGCAGCGGCCCAATGTCGTCGCGTGTCGCCTGCGCCGTGTTCTCTTCCGTTGCCGTCGCGATGCTGGCATGTTGCCGCTGCTGGCCGGTCCGCGCACGTGTCAGAGGTGACGATGCCGTTGGAGACAGTGTCGAGGATGGTGTAGCACCGTATTTTGGCGTCGAAATAGGCCGGACAGACAAACCCGCCTTGGTCTGCAAACAGCGCCCGCATATAGTCGCAGGTATTGTTGTCGGAGAATTCAAAGCAGGAAAACCAGCCGGCGCTTGTGGCGGGAGTGGACGTCGCCGAAGCGGTGTCGGTCGCCGCACGAGGCCGCGGCGGACGGCCGGGTAGAAGGAGGAGGGAGAAGACGAACGGGCGATCATTGCATCACCGAGGGTCGGTGGTGGTCGAGGGTACAGTGGTGAGGTTGCGGCTCGCGAAAGAGTGCAAGGCAAGTCAAAATGAAGTCAACTGCGCAAAAGTGCAACAGGGCGAATTAGTCCCGCGGTACGGAAATTGAACAGGGCAGGAACAGCTGGTGTCTGGTTGGTTGGCTAGACTGCGGGCACCTGGTTTGACACTGCCGAGATGCTGTACTGCGCTAAAAATTTCGAATAAGTCCCAGAGGGCCCCAATGTTCATAAGCATAACGTCACTGACGTCGCGACTAGGGCGGGATTTAACGGGAAAATGCCCCCCCCCCCCACCACGGTTGTTAATTTTACAGCAGACCAACACGGAGGAGACGCCGAATACCGAGCATGACCGACACACAAGCAATATGGTGACACCAGAAAATAAGTCTGGGAACTTCATCGACAATATGACAAAATGAAAATAAAAATGAAATAAAAATCATCGTCAACCAAATAAGAGCCGAAAGACAAAGGTTTTTCCGTGCATTTTCATATTTATGTGTCATTATTCATGATTACAGCGCAAGGGAAATATGTACAGATCATTAACAACATCCATCATACAACTCCCTTTTCTTTCCTACAGGAAGCACACGGCCAAAGCCACTGTTACTGCCACCCACAAAGAACGCTCCAAAGCCGCAGCACTGCTGCTAATGTCGGGGATAAACGGAAAGCACCAGGTGCTGGCCGACGTAATATTGGCACTGTTGCCGCCGCAGATGGTCCCGTCGGTCGTTCCGTTGACGGTCGTGCCGTTGAACGCCAACGTGCCACCCATAACGGCCGGAGGGGATGTATTGTGCGACGCATTTCTGGCCATAGTAGCGTAGGTGATCAGGTTGTGGTGGCTGGTCTCGCTGCTGTTGTAAGTCGTGGCCGGGTTGACGACTCCGTACATACCGTCCTGGCAGTGCCGGCTGGCCGTGCAGTAAAAGACGAACGGCTCGGACGTGTGGACAGTAACGCGAAACGTGGCAAGCTGTTGGTCAGTGCCATATAAAAATACAAAAAAAGAAAGAAAAAAAGAAAGCCGACGGGAAAACAGCAGACTTACGCCACTCTCCTCGTCGGCGACTGGGATGAAGCCCGAGAAGAAGCCATTCGGAGCGGGCGCGCAGGCCTTGTCCCAAGAGCCGAGGGCCACGCTGTGGTTGCGTGGATAGAAGGAGAAGACGAGAAGGTCGCCGACGGCGGCCGATACTGTGTTTGGCGTAAAGGTGAGGCCAGACTCGCCCACGGTAATGGTCACAGTGCTCGGCGGTAATGGGGAGGTTGATGATGTCGGGGCTGAAGTCGGTGCAGAAGTTGCAGTGGTACTTGATGGTAGAGCTGTTAATATTGGCGAGCGAGTTGACGACGTGCTCGATTTATGGTTTTGTTTTGTCGATGCAGCCAGGGTTATGGGTAGGGTCGAGGAGGCTGCAGAAAGTTGAAACGAAGGAGCGGAAGATATCGGAGTTGTCGAGCCCATTACGCTGGTCGGTGTCGGAGATGTTGTCGTGGCCGACAAAGCTACACCGATGAGGGACACAAATATCGCCTGGCGTAACGACATTTTGAAGACGACGTGTCCGGCAGATGCGAATATTACAATTTTTGAGTGACCGAAAACCTCGTTGGGTGTCTACCCATGGAAGAGATGTTCAGTCTTTAGATGAGGGCGGACACCGGACTCTGACGACAACGAGACGGAGATCCGGACAACCTTACGTTCTCTGGTATGTCTTCCTCTTACCTTCATTCTTTCTTATTTGTACCAAAGAAAAGCATTCCCAAACGGAGGCATACGCACTCCGACGGGCATATGCATGGCGTGGTGGCACCTGCTTTGCTGTTTCCCGGCACCAGTACGCGTCACAACGAGGTAGTACTGTAAGAGCCATTTCTTTTGTTTTTGGCGATGGGCACATATTTTCTCCCACCCCCCTAAGAGGGAGGGGTTTTGTTGTTCGTGTTCTTTCTCAGTCGCCTGGAATCTGCATATCTCAACTGTCTTGGTCCCAAAGACGAGATTCGTTGGAAAGTTGAGACACAGTCACATTCATGCAAACAGTACGCCGAATGTGAGCAAGGGGCAATAACAGACCGTTGTAAAGCGCGACTACTTTAGACACGAGGGTATAAATGCGAACGGCAAGTTGTAACAGTTGTCTTGATAGTCCTGAGTTCGTATTGAAGTTAAAGAGTGAGTCTGGGTGGACATTCACAGGAACGTCAATTCACTATGCTTGCCTTGTAAAAGGCGCTGCTAGTGTGCCGTGTAAAACACAAAACATAATTTGTTTCTAAATATTGTACTTTTTTAATTAAAATCTTACGGGACAAGGAGAAGAAAATAATTCCCAAGGGAAGTTGTAAAATGGTGAACATGCGAGGAGTCAGTTGTCAACTTCCAAGCTGAGTAAAAGAGTGGGGATCTTTTTAGTCGCATCTCACGAGTCGAGTGACGTCGCTCCCACCAAGAAGAGAAATTTCACCTCTCCCTCATAAGCACTAATAACGCTCTCAGCCTCCAACAAGAAGTCCTAGCTCCTGTCTTCGAACAGGTTCCGTGGTGCAGTTGGTTAGCGCATCGTACTAATATTTCTTCAACGAGAAATCCAATGCGAAAGTCGAGGGTTCGAGCCCCTCCGGGACCATTACATAACTTTCTTTTTTGGAGTTTCGAGAAGATGGCCCATTTTAATTTCTTATTTGCTTTCAGTCTTCCATTTTTGTTATATTTTTCTTATCACTCATTTTTATCCGTGTTCAACTTTTCATCAGCAAACTTTCATGTTACATGTACTACGCCAAAAGTAATCGTTTGTTATCCCATTGTCCAAAATTTAACCCAAGATATTCCTAATGTGATTAAACGCCATCGAGCCTACTCATAGCTGTCCAAACTTGTACCTGTATCCAAATACGCCGTGAAATCATTGTCTGCCTAGCGGCATGTTTCCAAGCCATCCATCAAATCCCCTAACCCCTGTCATCTCGCCAATGACCTTGGAAGTGGTGCTCCACCAGCGTCTGCTTCGACCGGCTCCTGCTTGCGTGTGAATGCGGTACGCCCGTCGCAAACCCGTCAATCGGCAGCACCAGCGTGTCTCCGAACAGCTGCGGTTCCCTTATGCCATGCAGTGTCTCCCACGTAATGCGCGGCTGCCCGACGCCCGTGCCGGCCACGTGGTTCAGGTGCTCATAGACGACCTCGGTCCACGCGGCCGGGCCGGTGATGGCCAGAACGTCCTTGTCGGACAGTTTTCCCGCCAGGAAGCCTCCTTTTAACTTGGCGCCCTTGGCCAGAATGCGGTCCAGCATCGTCCAGAGTGTCGGGTGGTTGGGTGCGCTCGCCAGGGTCCACTGGCAGAACTGGACCTCGTAGGTGGTGTCCTCGACGGGCGGGCTGGAGTCGGACTCGAGGCCGACAATGAGGCGTGTTTCCGCCCGAAACTTGCGGGGAACCCAGTCACCAATGGGCTGCACGAGCGTTGTATCCATATCCGAGTAGACACCGCCGTCGAGAGCGAGCGCGAGGTAGCGCATAAAGTCCGCACGTAGCACACGCCGCTGCATGCCTTTGTACTGTGTGAGGGCGTCACGGGCAAAGTCAAGCGTTCTCATTTCGAGTGCGGCGTCATTGATAGGGCCAGCTCCGCCGGTGTCGCTGAGGCTGTCACTGACGCTGTCGCCCTCCACACTCTCGGTCGGGCCAGTGGTCTGGCGAAAAGTGTCTGGGTAGATAGGCACGCGCTGCAGAACCTCTCCCGCTTTAGGGGTAGCCATGGTGACAAGTCGGCGGACCATGCTGAGGGCGCCGCCCTTGTCCAACAATGTGTATGAGTATGACGGCGAGCGGGACAGCCAGGTGCCCAGGGAGGTTACGGAGAGAACGCTCGGTTTGAAGTCGAGGTAGATTTGCCAAATCTTGGCAGGGATGTGTGGAAGATGTGTCGTTGTCGTCGTGTCAAACTCGTCGACGGCCATGTTAGCAACATATTTTGCAGCTTCGGCCTCCGCCGCAGCTTCCTCCTCCCGTAGTTTCGTGACGTTGATCGCCGACCCGCCGCCCCAGGGCAGGTGTCGCATGCCACCTGGCACGGAGAGGCCATGGTCTTGCTCATTGAGGTGCATCATGCCTATTGCGAAGAGAAACAGGCCAGCAAGAATGAAAATGATTCGTCGGAACCGGGCAACACCAGCGAAGCGGGGTCGAAATAAAAATGCTGATGCGCGTTTTGGTACTGACGTGGATGCTGCGTCGGATTGGATGCACCATGCCCCAGCACCTGCCAGGCGCGCAGAATGTTCGGCAATGTGCGTTTGCCACCGAGACAACATTGTGTCCTGTGGTGACACCGTCATGGTCGTGATGTGTGTGAATAGTAGCTAGCACGACGTATTTTCCGCGTGTTTTTCGCGGCGATGTTGAGCTTGCCGGTTGATCCGGCGCGCGTTGCTACCGCGGTTTTTGCGAAAACGAGAAACCAAACGTAAGGATTGCTAGTCGTCGAATGTCGTCTAATGACCAGCTTGTACCCGCCACCTCCGTTGGTTTCGGCAAGATCCGTACGATGTGTCAAACAAGAAAGCTGTAGCCGTACGTCTCGTGTACTCCTACAGCGATCGTCGAAAGAATCAGACTGCTCAGCAAATATGTGCGAAGAGTGTCATATTGTACTCCGTTCAGCCAGTCGTGAGATTTGGTACAACGCCCGACGGTTCGATGCCGGCCAACCGGAGGTTGGAGGGGAGCTCAGGGGGGCCTAGAACGGTGAAGGTCGAAATAGGAATGGCCAGCGCAAGGTTCTGAATAAGAGGCCTGGATTGGGAGTGTCAGATCGAATGACTTTGGTCTTCCTGTTTTGCTGTGCTCTCGATACGAGGTTGCAAAGCTTGGCAGGTACAAGTGGTATATACCAAGACCGGATCGGTTGCGTTGGGAAGAAGAAGGGCAGTTTCACGTTTTCTCGTCTTGACTTCTCGCCAGAATTGAAATGGCGGCTTTCGTGGGACTGTGCCGTAATACATATGCAGAACAAAGAAACGCGGCCCAGGTAAAAGCTATGCGCGGCGCGGCCCATCTTTTGTCTCCGGCGTTTGCCGTTCGTTGCCCTGAAGACACCAAAACCAAGAATGTATTACTTCGCCCCAGGCGTTTGCCTCTTCCATCATAACTTGGACCTTGTCGAAGACCAGGACTGTGGAGGGTGGACCGAGGAAAAAGTGGACCCAATGAGATCAGAGCAAAACCTCTCAGAGACGAAAGACAGGGAGAAGATGGATGGTAGCCGAAATTTAAGTTTAAAGCAGGGAGGTGATCGGCGACGCGCAAATGTGTGACAATTCCCTACATAAAAGGAAGAAAAGGGGTTAGTCAGGCAGTCAGAGTGCCTAGCTTTCTGGGAACGGTCTTGGATGACGACGGACAGGGCCTCGTGAGTTGCTTCTTCCATTGTCACATTATCGTCAAATCGCTGGTCGTCTGAAATTGGAAGGGAGCGAGTCGACATTCTTACGGTACGTTCTTGTAGAGAGACCGTCAGATCGAGACGTTGGAAAACGAAGATGTGACGTGAATCTGTGGTCGTGCCAAGTCCTTCTGCCGGTCGCTATTGCAGTGCCGACCACCCCAATGCCACCCGGGTCTAGCGGCAGTTGGCCGCATGTGTTGCTTCTTGGCAGTGACGTAAAGCTGGGAGCGCAGAGAAAACAATGAAACTAAAAGTTCGAGACGAAGTAAAGGTAAAATCACACCGAAACAAAAGTTTGACAAAAGCAAAGGCAAACGGACGATGTGATTCGAAATCAGGAAGTGGAAGTTGCGACTTAATGCGACGTGCTACGACTGGAAGCCACGACTGACGACAAACCATTCTCAGAAAGAGCGATGTGCACAGTAGCTGGCGACGCGTCACGCAGGTCTGATAAGGAGGCAAGAGCATGCGTCGTGGCCATGTAGGGAAGGAAAGAGCAAGGGCATGCGTTCCTTTCGTTGCATTTTCATTCACCTAAGATCTGCCCCTGAATTGTTCCATCGCGTATTGCCCTTCTCCCCCCCTTAAATTCGCACAAATACGCACGCAACTTGCACACGAAGAGCAATTCTTGCAAACGCCACGCGGACCACAGAATATGAACCGGCGAGCACTGAGATACTTACGAGATGTACGGAGTACTGATTCTCAACATCAGCTGCGTTCCAGTAGTTTAAACGACGATGCACAGTCAGACCTTGCGAATGGCTCCGCTGTCGTCCTCGGTCGAAGGTATAAAAGAGGATCGTCAGACAATGGTGTATCTGACTGCTAGATTGTGTTCCTTTCAATTAATATGGCCCTTCACTCTGCCATCTTGTTTCTTCATTTAGGAATGTGTGGAAGTTTGGACATGTGCGAACGAGAAGGTGCCTTTGCGTGTGCAAGACACGACAAGAGCCATAGCAATATGGTTTCCAAGCGACTGCTTTTTATGCGACCGTTCGAAGACATGCTTCGTCTGTTGCCTGCATTCACGGCAAACTCTTGACGTTCTACTTTCTGCCTTATCCATGCTTGCAAGCAATCAAACGACACCCGTTCATCTCTCCCAATCTCCCTACAGCTGCAGATCCGACACCCGCCACACCAGCCGCTCGGCACTGACCTCCTTTCTGCGCAACACATCCAAGGCCTTTTGAGCGCGCTCCAAGAGGGTAGCGCCCTCAATAATGCGCTGCCTGTTGGGCTTGACGATGCCTGCGGTCAACAACGCAGGAACGACGGTTGACTGCAGGTGTTCCTTGAAGAAGGGGTCCTACACAGTTAGCGATGAAGAAAGGCATATAACACCTACACTGGGACGGAAAGGGGGTACCTCTTGATAAAAGTGCGCGCGCACACCGCGGGCTTCGACACCATCGGCCCAGTTGACGGCAGCCTGTGTGTCCATGGCGTACTCGGGCGCGACGTCGTCGGTGGCATCGCGCACAATGACGGGCAAGAGTGCGGCGACGGTGGTACCGTGCTGGGCTAGATCGGCAATGGGGGCGAGGCTGCCCTGCTGGGACGCGATGCAGTCGAGGACGTACGGCACGGCCGGCCCGGCAGCGTTGGCTCTGGCGCCGCTCTCCTCGGCAACGGCCTGGAGAATTTGAGCGGCCACATCGACGTCGTGATAGTCAAATACATGTCGGGCGCCGAGGCCGCGCAGGTCTGCGTGGTGGTGCTTCGAGGCGGTTGTCAACAGGTTGGTGTAGCCCCATTGGCTCAAAATCTGCAGGGCGTACAGGCCACAGGACGAGGCGCCGCCCCAGATGAGGATGGGCGTGTTGGCGTGGGGATTTGACGACGCAGGTGGCCGGGGCCAAGCCAAAGGCAACCCGAAGTCTTTCGTGACGGCATGGAAGACGGAGACGACATTGTTGGGCAGAGTGACAACCTCCTGCATAGAGAAGCCAGCGGGGATTTTGCCGAGACTCGTCTCGGGGACCGTGGCAAAGTCCTGATAGGCCTTCTGCTTGTTGTCCTTGAACGCGAAGCCAAAGACCTTGTCACCCACGCGCAGACTCTGGACGTCAGGCCCAACGGCCGTGACGGTACCCGCAATACCGTCGCCCATGACCTGGGGGTGCGTAACGAGCAGGCCGCCGTCGTTTTGGTGCAGGTCGAGCGGCGTCGAAGCAGTCCATTCGACGTGCACCTGGACCTCACGGCCGATAGGCGTTGGCGTCGGGACGTCGATGAGACCCAGGGGGGCCCGCACGGCCACGGTGACGACTGCCTTGTGAGTGGACATGGTAATTCAAGTGTTAAGGAGTCAAAACTGTCAAGTTGTGGGTATTGGTGTGATTGATGATGCTTTCTTTGATTCCTTTCTTTTGGTATTTTGTTTTTCTTCCGAATACCTTCTCTTGGAAAATATTGTTTGGCGTTTCTTGAGTTGGTTAAAATACTTTTTTGTTTATTTTCGTCCTACAACGAAACGCCATCACAAACATAAATACTATATATTATGTTCGTGAGCCCAATCCGTCGGTTCACTTAAACAACTGCTGTCGGATAACCCGAATTATCATTGTGTCTTGGAACCGTCGCGGCGCTATCAGGGCATCCGTTAGGCGCTAGGGCGCCAGAAGAGCATCAGACAGCCGCCGACTTTGCCGACGTTTTTTGGTGTCCTTACAAAGCATCTCCGACGAGACCCACTTTCCCGCCCGAAGCATCCAACGACTCTCCATTGATCAACCCGACACCCCCGACTTACACGATCAAAACAAATCCGACACCGAGACACCTCGACATCGACAGCAATAAACATAATATCCACAGCAGGGAATAGCGATAAAGCACAATTGAACAAGAGGACGACAGGATTTTTATCCACTCTGCGGCATCCACATCTTCGGCATGGATTCGATGCAGACCCGAGAAGTCGGCGGCCGAACACCTCAGGCGTGCGAAGCGTGGTGAGTTTTGGCTGTGTCTAGGCCGCAGACAATATAGAAATGCTACGAAATATACACATTGCTGACTCTTGACATCGGGTAGCCGACGCAGCAAGACCAAGTGCAGCGGCACGCGGCCAAAATGCCGGCGCTGTCTGAAGCGCAAGACGCCATGCACGTGGCCCGGCGCGCCCACCTTCCAAGATGTCCCGAGCAGTGCAGACATCCCCGGCATACCTGGGACGCCGGAGTCGTTGCCCTCGATATATGGACAATCTCAAGCGACCCAGAGCAGTCCTGCTGTCGATGCCTACGCCCGTGTGGGCCCCTCGCAAGCCGTCGCCCTCCCCCAGCGGCTGCTTGACATATTCTTTGAGCGCCACCATGAGGTTGAATTCTGCGCGTTCTTGCACAAGCCGACGACCACCATGGCCGGCCTGCGAAAGCAGGCGCCTGTTCTGGCCACGGCCATTGCCAGTCTCGCGGCGTTGTACTTGACAGCCGACGAGGCGGGCCACCTCACCAAGACGCTCGGCTTGCCGACAGCCTGCACTGTCAGCCTGTCCGACTTCTATGCACGGCAGGCCTCGGTTTTGGGGCGTCATTTGACGGACCAGCCGTCTATCCCCACCATCCAGGCCTTTTTGGTCCTGGCCGTCCGCGAGCTCGTCGCCTGGAAAGACTTCAAGGCCTGGATGCACGCCGGCACCGCCCTGCGCATGGCCGATGCGCTGCAGCTGAGTGTGGAGCTCGACGCCGACCAGCAGGCACCCTTTGTTTTTGGGCCGACCGCGACGTCGGCACGTCGCCACGTTGGCCCCCGCCAGCGCGAGACCCGCCGCCGCACCTTTTGGGCTTGCTTTGTTGTCGACCGACTGATCTCTTACACATGTCACCACCGTTTCTACATTTCGCTGCCGCCCGTCATCTCCAAAGGTGTCGCCACCAATGTCCTCTACGGGACCCGCGGCGGCGGCGAGGACGTGCGTCTGCCGTGCGCCGACAACACCTTTGCCTTTGACGAGAACGACCCGGGCCCGTGGCTCAACGACTTCATGGGCGGGCAGTCGCCCCATCAGACGCCGGGCGGCCAGCTGTCGTTGTCCCGCACCAGCGTCACTCCCTTTTACCTCTGCCTGCTGCGGCTCTGGGGCGACATGGCCCTGCTGCACGCGACCGGTGGCCGACGCCGCACTCCGTATGCGCCCACAGATCCTGCCGGGCCCTTTGCCAAGGCCGGCGCCGCCATCTCCGACTTTGCCACGCAGGTCGTGCCGCCTGCCATGCACTGGTCCGCCGCCAACTACCGGCTGCACCGCCTGACAGGGCAGGCCCAGATGTTTGTCCAGTTCAATTTCCTGCTGCACCACGCACGATGCGTCATGCACCACGAGTACCTGCCGCAGCTGGACATGCAGTACTACAGCCCGCTGTTGGAGACGGACGGAAGCAACAGCAGCGGCTTTGACGTGGGCCTGGGCCTGGACTTCGACTACCGCTCGCTCATGGCGTCTGACGCGGCGGGTCTGCCGCCCGACTACTCCCACAAACCGCTCATTGACACTTGCATCGATGCTGTCAATACCATTACGGACATGGCCACCCTGCTGTATCACGGCGGCGATGAGGGTGAGGTCGCACCAGTCGGTTCAGGCGGAGTTGGTGGTGCCGGAGACGTCCAAACTGAACGCGACCGCGGCCGCGCTATGCTGCAGTCCACTGTCGCCGCCAATGCTCTCGTGACGGCGGCCGCTGTCCACCTCTGGGTCGTCTACACCCAAACCTGCGACCGCTGCCCCAAACCGGCGGCCCGCGCCAAGTTTTTGTTGCTGCTGCGCATCATCCAGTCCTGGGAGCCCCGCTGGCCGGTGGCTGCTGCGTGGGGCGAGACACTGGGCCTGCTCTACAAGCTGTATGAGTACTCGTACGGGACCGAGCCCGTCCCCGAGTTTGACTCGTGGGAAGCGGAGGGAGCGGATGGCACGACGGCGGCGACCAAGACATCAGCTGCAGCAGGTACAGTCTTCTCGCCGAACTGGAAACAAGGCGAAAGCAGCGCCTGCCGCGACCACCCTGGCCTCTCCTATGGTGATATCCTGCCCGACCCTGCCGCCGTCGGCCAGAGCCTGCACGACAAGGTCCGCAGCATTCTCGTGCACCCGCTGCATGCCCCCGACGTGAAGCGCAAGAATCTGCGCGTATTCTCACAGACCCTGTGGCAGCAGAACCTGTGGTTGCTGCCTGGCCTGCTGGGCAACAGCGCCAGCAACGACGGACTCGACATGGAAACCATGTATATGTGACGTGGGATGTAAAGAAATGGGGGCGTCAATCTTGTTCAATATTGTACCATGATAAATAATGAATAATGCCAGCGCAATTCATACACAATTAATACGCAAATATGTTACAAATGTTGTGAGTATGAAAAGCAAAATCAGAAAGAAATGCGGCCGTAAAGGCTGACCGAATATGCCTTTTTGTCTATCCCATTTAATGCCAAAAGAGAAAAGAGAGGACACACACACCAAAAAAAAAAATCAGCTCCGCCGTTCCATCCCTCACAACGCCGCCTTCTTCGCCTTGCTCTTGACGGACTTGACCAAGTCGGCCAGCTCGTCGCTGCGGGTCGAGTTGGTCTTGGCCTTCTTGCTGGACTTGGACGAAGCGCCACCACCATCCTCGCCATCGCCGCCCTTGCGTTTCCGTCGCGCCTCGTTCTGCATCTGTTCCAGACCCAGCGTGTCCTTGTACTGCGGGTGCGACGGGTCGATGGCAAACTCGCCGCCAGCAAACACCGCCTCCAGACGCGGATCTGCCACGTCCACGCCGTGGATGGCAGCAGCGGCGCTGGCGCCGCCGGCTGCCTCACCGGCATCGTCCTCGCCGTCATGCCGCCGGTTGTGGTTGCGCCGGTTCTTCTTGCGCGCTTCCTTTTGCCGCTGCTTCTCGGCCTTCATCACCTCGCGCATGTCAAAGTGGCCGGCGCTGCCACGCGCTTCCTCGCCGTCGTCGCCCATCAGCGCCTCCAGCTGCGCCCGCGACGCTTCCTTCTCCTTGGCCGCGGCCTCGCGCGCCGCCCGCTTCTTCAGGCGCTCCTCCTTGCGGATGGCCGACTTGGAGGCGCCCGCGCCGCCGGCCGCGCCGAAAGCGCCCGGAGCATCGTCCAGGAAGAACGGATCATTGAAGCCAAGGTCTTGGTCGTCGCCGCCCTCGGCGCGGCCTCCATCCTCCTCCACATCGCTCTCTGCCTCGGCATCTGCGTTGAGATCACGGCCCTCGCGCTTGGCAATCGCCTTCTGCTTGCGCAGGGCCTTGCGCTCCTTCTCCTTGCGCTTGTACTTTTCCAGTGTCGTCTCTTCGCTGCCGTCCGCGCCGCCAGACTTTTTCTTGGCAGCCGCGGCGTCGGAGAGTGCGGGGGTGAATGTGATTTGCATGCCGCCCACAGGGCCGTTCTTTTTGTCTTTGCCGCTCTTCTTGGCCGGCTCCTCGGCCAGGCCCAACGCGGCGCGCATCTTTTGGCGTGCGAGCTCCTTTTTGCTCAGCTTGGCAGGTTTCTCTTTTTCCTCGTCCTCGTCGGCATCGTCTCCTTCTCCTCCGCCGCCCTCCTTGTCGTCGCCGTTCTCCTCCACGCCACCAAACTCCTCTCCATCGTCCTCAAAGCCGTCCTCGCCGTCGCTGTCGCTCGCCAGGTACGCGCGCAGATCGTTCTCAATCAGCTCCGCCGGCGTGCCCGAAAACGCCTTCTTCATCAGGTCCTTGCGCGACGTGTCTTCGGGGTGCATGTCCCACGTCAGCTTGACTTTGCTGTGCTGCAGCGCCTGCGTCACAAACTCCACCGGCTTGTAGTTGGTGGGCACCTCGGTGCACTCGTCCCGCGGCTCGTCGTCGTCAAACGTCGTGTCGTCCGGCACGAACCGCAAGTCGATAAAGTTGGACGACGACTGGTACTCGGTGCCGTCCGTGGCCCGGTAAATTGCCTCCGCCGTCGCCGTGTCCGAGCACACCATCACCGCATAGTAGTAGCGCAGCCGGTCCAGCTGGTACGACCGCAGAGCGTTGCTGTCAAAGTCCGTGTCGTCCTCTTCACGAAGAAGGTCCTGTTTCACCTTTTCATCCTCGTCGTCGTCGTCCTCGTCGCTGTCGTCGTCATCCTCGGAGTCTTTGCTTCCCTCCTCGTCGTCATCCTCCTCCTCGTCGCTGTCCTTTGCTTTAAAGATTTCTCTCGGCGGGCCCTCCAGCTCCTCCCGCTGCATCCGCTCCTTGCCAAACTGCGAGGGGTACACCGAGATCCGCTCGATCCGTCCCCGTCCGTTTTTGGGCACAAAGCTCGCAAACATTGCCATCAGGTCCCGCGCCTTAACGTGGTCCCAGTCCAGGTTGACAATCGCCAGCCGGTGTGTGATCTCGCCCGTCGGCACCTCCGCTTCTTCCTCGCGGAACTGCTGCGTGTCGACAGCCGCCTCGTCGCTGTCGTCCGCGTCGTCCTCGCCACCAAAACGCTCGCCGTCTGATTCATCATCGTCGTCCTCGTCGTCCTCGTCAGACTCGGACTCGGATGCCGAGAAGCCACCGCCTCGTGCCGCGTCGTAGTTTGCGCGTGCCATCTTGGACGGCTTGCTTGGTTTGCTTGACGCGGACTTGGTATCGTCCTCGCTGTCTTCGTCATCCTCCTCTTCGTCGTCCGCCGCCTCGTACAGACGCTCCAGCGCCTTCTTTTTCTTGTCCGACTTGAGCTTACGCCCATACCGGTCAATCTGTGTTGTGGCCGTAAACTCCTTGTCTTTCAAAACCCGACTGAACCGCTTGTCAAGCTTCGTTTTCGCGTCACGCCGCGACGGCAGTCGGTACCGTGGGTCGCTCTCGAACTTGGCAAACCGCGCATCGTTGATCCGGCTGGGCGAGCCACTGCGCTCCTTGTTTTTGGGAGCCATGGCAGTACGCAGCTTGGTACGTTTCCGAGTGTAATCGTGGAGAGGGCAGTTTGTAAGGTCAGGTCGCGGGAAAGTCGTAGGCGGCAGTTAAGGAAGGTGTCTGTTCCTGCAGTGCGCTCTTGCCTTTGCGACGACTCTCGTGAGTCTGGATGTTTTCTGCCAAAACTTTTTTTTTCTGGGCCGGCAGAATCGCCCGAGCGATAAAGGCGGTGAGAGCGCGACTGCCACCCCCAGCCTAGCGCCTTTCTGGCCCACTCGACCTGGCCTACAATTGGAGGCTGCAATTGGGACCTGTAAATCATACTTGTAAATTGGGCCTGCCAAGACCGATCTCATCCCATCTTCCTTCAATCTCACTCTCGATAAAACAAATGTTGCCGTAAAGAGTCTGGGGCATATGAGAATAACATGCCTAGCCACGAATATCTTGCATTTTGATCTAGCAACATTGTAGAAGAAGATGTGCCGAAAACACACAATAGTGGCAAGCACATGCCCTGCAGCCAGTCTTCCGCTATTACTAGCCAGCTACAGCGCCGTAGGGCCACCTTTCGCGCCCCTTCCAGGCTAACACCAGTGGACTATGCACACCACTGACGTCATCCCAGAGTCGTCGCATTCATAGCTACGACGCACAACATACAGCTTTGACATGCTTTGGCGAGGGGGCAGGACCTCGCTAACAATTGCAATTTCAATGTAATACACTCCACCACGCAACTTTCGCTAGCGTCTAGGTTAAACATGTCTAGAAGAAAGGTCGTGGTTGGCTCCTTTCCAAGTGCAATACCATGTCTCGCAAGTGTGTAAGTGAGCATTGTACTTTCCAAACCCGTATATTCTGCCCACATTTCGCAGCCTGTTTCTCGAAGCAGTGGTGACGTATACTGACGATCCCATTGAGCGACCTAACGACGCATCTATCCCCCTCCCGCCTTCCCGAATTGAGCCAACAAGCCAATCGCTGGGACTTGCTCAATGTTTACCCCTTGCACAGTCGCACTTTCCTCCACTGTTCTCCTTAAAAGCAGCTGCGACCCCCGTTCTTGGCATTGACTTTGTTTCTCTTGGCATCTCCAAAGCTTCAATCGGCGCCTATTCCGTAATAGAGTCACGTTTGACGCAGCCCGTCGCCTGTTTCGCAAGCCCCACACATCTCATGGAACAGACCACACAGAGTTAAGAAATAAGAAAATAACCTCCGGTTCAATCGTTCAGCCCTATCCTTACGACGATCAACGAGCACCTCCGCTCACAACATCATGGAGACCAAAGACTTTGGGATTCTCAAGAAGGGGACGCTTGGCAATGGCATTGTCGAGCTCTGCACCTCCAAGAACAGTGTGTCGTCGCTGGTGGCTGCCGATCCCACATTGGCGGCTGGCGATGCCTGGCAGACACTCTATGGGAAGTACAGCCATACCAAGGACGCCAGTGACAAGGCAGCAACCTCTCAAGTCGACGACCTCCAGCGCGCCGCACAATGCGGCAAATGGGGTCCTACACAGCCGAGCGAGCTCTTCTTGAAAGTGAGTGCTCTTTGTCTCAGTGAGCTATTATAAGTGCCTTCCGCTGACGGCCACACAGATCTACCGTGATGTTCTGGCGGTTGTCGAGGAAAGCCCGGACCGGGCTATGGTCAGCCCGTCACTGCTAGGCAGCTGCGGCGTAGCACCGCTGACGGTGATCTCGACCATCCCGGATATTGCACGGCACATGGCCAATGTCATTGCTCGCGCCGAAAAAGAGGTCTTTCTGGCGACGAACTACTGGCAAGACAGTGTTGCCTCGCGCTACATCACAAACGCCATGCGTGAACTCGACCGCCGCGCTGGTGCCCGAGGCGAGCGCGTTGTCTTCAAGGTCATGTACGACCGCGGCAGCCCGAAGCAACTAGTCGACCCGCACTACCTTGTCGGTGTCGAAGAGTATACGGGCAAAAATGTCATGATTCCATCGTCCGAGGAGATACCCAACATCGACATGCAGGTCATGAACTACCACCAGGCGATGGTCGGCACCTTCCACGCCAAGTACATGGTCGTCGACCGCAAGATTGCCATTCTGCAAAGCAACAACATCCAGGACAATGACAACCTGGAAATGATGGCCCACTACGAGGGCCCCATTGTCGATTCCTTCTACGACATGGCCCTCATGTCCTGGCATAAAAAGATGGAGCCTCCGCTGCCGAGCTACAACTCGCCTGCCGCGGCCGGCGGGCTCAGCATCAACGGTGCGGCACCTGGCCAAGCCAACATCACACTGCCAGCGAATGCCAGCACTGAACCACCCACTGTCGCACGACAACAGCCGCAGACTACACCAGATGCGGTACAGGCCGGCCCGATCGTCGACGCGAGGGGCGTGCGTGAGCCGGGTGCACTGGACGCAAAAGCCGCGTACGCACCTGTTGAGAGTGATGACGTGCACCGCTCCGATATCGTCACCGGCCCGACGACCACTGCCAGCACGCTTCATCCGCATGCCTCGAAAACCAGTGGCGGGAGCAGCTTGGCCAATCCAGAAATGGACAAGGCGGCTGCTGCACAGATTAAAGAAGGGAATACGGGCAGTGCCGAGGGGACCCAGGATGTTATCAAATTCAGCCCCAACAAGCCGAATGGCCCGGACCCGGCCACTATTTCCTTCTTGAGCAGCGGGAAGCAGCCAATATCGGCCGCGTCCATCCACCAGCCCACTGCCCCCGACACACTCCTACCACAAAGCACAAATGAGCACCCGCAATACGACAGAGACATTGCAGGCGAGGTCACCCGCGTGCAGACGTCCGTCTCGGCAAAGCCAGGTGAAACACAGATGGAGGCCATCAGCCGGCTGCTCAACCATACCGTGAACCACCTCAAGGCCGATGCGCCAGAACCGAGCGAGGGCGAGGAAATGACACCCTACATTCCCCACGCCACCCACGAGCCGTTCCCCATAGCCATGGTCAACCGTCCACCGTTTGGTCCTCCGACGCACTCGTCGGTGGTGCAGCCCCAGAACGCGGCGTGGCTTTCGGCACTCAAGAATGCGCGAAAGAACGTCTTCATCCAGACGCCTACGCTCAACGCCGAGCCCTTGGTGCCTGCCATCTACGAGGCGTGCGAGCGGGGTCTCGACGTGATTCTGTACGTGTGCCTCGGCTACAACGACATGGGTGAGCTGCTGCCCCGCCAGGGCGGCACCAACGAAATGATCGCCCACCAGCTATACCAGGCCCTCTCCGAGACGGGCCGCCAGCACCTGCACTACTTTTGGTACGTGGCCAAGGACCAGACACGGCCCATCCCGCAGAGCAAGAAGAAGCGGGACTGCCACATCAAGCTTATGATTGTCGACGAGACGATTGGTATCATGGGCAACGGCAACCAGGACACGCAGAGCTGGTACCACAGCCAGGAGATCAATGTCATGCTGGAAAGCCCCGACGTCTGCCATGCGTGGATTGATGCCCTGCGCCGCAACGAGAACACTCATCTGTATGGCGGCCTCGACAAGAAGGAGGGCGTGTGGCGCGACCACGAGGGCAAGGAAGCCGACGATGTGCTGGGCATCGACCCTGGACGCTTTAGCTGGGCCAAGGGCTTCGTAGGCGCCATCAAGCGTGTGCAAGGCAAAGGTGGTTTCTAGGAAGAGCTGCCATGTGGCGCACGCAATGACTGGTGGTGGTCATTCCAGGAAAAGGACAACAGGGAATGATGAACGGCATTGTCTCTGGCGAGAGTTTTTGGTGGCGTCACGTTTTTGCATTTTTGAAGAGTTATATTCGTTATATAAGAAATGGTTTTACTTTTTTGTTTTCACAAGCTCATTGCCAAAGCCTGACATCAAAATCAGAAATTCAGTCGCTCTCCGTACCGCGCGCCGCCGTCTTGTCCACGTTCCACATGCTTCTTGGAAACACACAAGGTGTGAGTAAAACGCTTGACGTGCAAGCTAAATCAAACCAAATCCTCGCTTGATACTATTTTTCCACGTTTTTATTTTTGATTTCCCTTTCCACACACTCTAATAACTGCGACCGAACATGACCCAGGTGTTGGCGGTGCGCTCGCACTCGGGGTTCAGGCACTTGGTGCCTTCGGCCAGCTTCTCCTCCGGCTGCTCAAAGGGAATGCACAGACTCTTCATGCCCATCGACGGGGCTTTTTGGCCATCAGGGCCCTCGGTCACCTCGTCGCTCTTGGTCAGGTCCTTGATGCGGTCCTCGCACTTTGGGTCCAGGCAGAACGGGATCAGCACCACGTTCTTGTTGTCCAGAGCCGGCACCACCTTGCTCCAATCCTTAATCACCAGACGGTGCTCGCGGAAGGACTTGTCGGCCTTGTCGTACAGGTCCTTCTGCACTGTCTCGAGCAGCGCCGGCACGGCCGTCGCCAGCTCGGCCAGCGGGATCGTGCCCTTCTCGCCCGTGTCGCGGCGCGCGTAGCTGATCACGTCCTTGGCGGCGTCCTTGGGACCAAACTCAAGGCGCAGCGGCACGCCCTTGAGCTCCCAGTCGTTGAACTTCCACGCGGGCGTGTAGCCCTCACGCACGTCAATGTCGGCGCGCACGCCGGCCTTCTTGATCTCGGCGAGCAGCACGTCGCACTTGGCCACGTGGGCCGTCTTCTCCTCGGCCGTCATCTTGGCGGTCAGGCCGACCGGGATCAGAATGGCCTGGACCTTGGAGATGCGCGGCGGAAGCACGAGGCCCTTGTCGTCGCCGTGGATCATGACCATGACGCCAATGACGCGCGTGGACAGGCCCCACGAGTTCTGCCAGACATGCATATGCTGGCCCTTTTGGTTCGGGTCCTCGACGGTAATGTCAAACATCTTGCTAAAGTTCTGGCCCAGGCAGTGGGAGGTGGCACCCTGGATGCCGCGGCCATTGGTGGGGATGTAGCCCTCGACCGTGGTCGTGTAGTAGCCGCCGGCAAACTTCTCGTTCTCGGTCTTGCGGCCGCGCACGACGGGGACGGCGAGCAGCTGCTCGTAGACACCGGCGTACA